AGAAGGAGGCGCCCGCCGTCAGCGGCGCAGGTTGCGCGGGCCTGGGTGTTAGTCGTCTGCTGGGCGTACACCTTGTAACAGCCTAGGACAGAACTTTGTGTGTAGCCGGGGGCTGTACACTTACCCGGGGCTTAGAGAAGGAAAAAAAAAACATTGATTTAGTATAAATGTATAAAATGATGTTCGTAGGTGGTATAGAACAATACAATTGCAAGGATCTAGCGGGGATCTGAGGTTTACTATCGTCTGTACATACATTTACATACCTCCCTGCCTCCGAAACAGTAAAAGAAGTATAGCCGCGGTCAGAATGGTGAGGTTTTCTGGAGTCCAGTCAAGCAGTCCATCTTAAAAAAAAAACACAAAAGAGATTTAATTTGTAGCAAGCTGCAGATCTGTAGCTCTCTGGCTGAAAAATTCTCTGGTTTGTCTATCCGAATTTTTTCAACCAGAGAGCTACAGATCTGCAGCTAATCTGTAGCAAGCTAAACTTTTTCATCCCTTTGAATATTTCATTGTTCCTTGATACTTTACAGTAATAAGCATGGATTCCCTGAAACTGTTTCAGCTTCTTCTACCTTCACAAAATATTTTTTTTTAGTTCTGGAATTTCATTTAAAGCCATATATGGCGTATGTACAATGAAAATTATTAGACGAAAATTATAAGAACTTATTATTTGTATCATTACTTAATATAAAGATAGAACTTTTCCGTAAATTACAAAATCTAAGTCAATTGCCTTATAAAGATATCACAATTTAATTTAGATTCTCGGAATTTTCTCCGACTCGGAAGAAAATACAAAAGATTTAAATAACACATTACAGAGAAGATAAAATTGTAGTATTAGTTAAAACGAGGTGTTCTCCGTGTTCAGAATTGTATGAAAAGTTTTAATTTAAATGTATTAACTATATTTCTTTACTAAATTCTGTATTATTTAAAATTATATTTTTTGATCAGTTACGCCATATATGGCTTTAACCTGTATCTTATTTTTATATATTAATTTTCAGGTTGTCCCGACCCCCTTAAAACGTTGCACTACATGCACAGGATTGAAGGAATGAAGGAAACCTCATTATAAAGTTACGTTATATATAAATTCTATAAATATAAACATCAAAGTTTTGAATTAATTAAAGAGAAATTATATCTGTAATAATATTAATAATTTACAATGTACATGTATATGAACAATACATCTGTGACTTATCAATTTAATCAAACACATTTTTTAAGCACATTTTGGTTATTCTCGTACTCTGATTGGCTAATAGAGCTCCTCCTGCCGTAAGTGAAGCAAGAGCAATCTGATTGGCTGAGACAGCATCTGACTGACCAATTCTCAGGACAGAAGCTAAAAGAGAGAGGAGCATGACCGCAGCAATGAAAATATTGGCATCTGGTTTCATCACAAATAGTACTGGCTTGCAGTGGGGTGCCTGCAATGGAGTTGCATGGTACCTTGATCATTTTTTAAAGATAAAACTATACATACATCTTTATGTAATCTTTATTTCTAAATAAAAGCAAAAGAATAAATCAAGAGATACCGTTGTTTGGCCAGTTCCGAATAAGAAACCGATTCGGCGGTGCTATAAATATACTAGGCATAATTTCAAAATTTAAGTGTTTTGTCAAGGTAGTTCGTTGACTTGTGGAATTAAATATTGTTTCACAAAAGTTCAGCCTTCCCTCCAAAAAATTTATTTCGCAAGTTACCATAGGTGTCCATTTTACCAGTTACGAACAAGCCGACGAGTTCCGAATAGGCTAGAGATTCTGATTCAATACAACCCTAAATTAAACAATATACGTCCCAGACGTTATCCATTGACATGTCTAAGAAAAGTACCAATAAATTATTTGTATTTCCAAACGTTGAGGAGAAACTAGAGGTACTGTGGGTACCGGGCTCATTTTAATGATACCCCACACCTCGTTTATGATTATTTATGATAAAGTCCATGTTTTGCTCTGGGAGACCCGAAATAAGTGTCAGATCAAAAAGTAAAATAAAAGGTAACGATGTCACAATATAACAAATAATCTGTGAAAGAATCATTAAATCTTATTCAGTGGAATAGGAGGAATTGCGGATAAGAGATGTATATATACCTTTCAATATTACAAAGAATGGCAGTTTATCTATGTTTTTCTCAGGGAGCCCGAATTATGTGCCTGATCCAAAAATAAAATAGGTGCACTTTGGTACTGTTAAACAAAGGTTCTGTGAAAGACTCATTAAATTCTGTGAAGCCTCATAAAACTTCATTCAGTGGTAGAAGAGGGATTGCAGATAGGAAATGGATACCCCAGAGTGTATCAGACGGGTGGACGTACAGACAGACGGATGGGCAGACGTAGAGACCGATGGATGGACAAACATCCCATTACTATATACCCCTTCTTCCTGTTTTTCAAGCGGGGGTATAATAAGTCACGTTTACAATGAAGAAAACAAAAAACAACGAAGAGTGAATTTAAAATAATGTTTATAATGGGTATTCGGAACTGGTAAAATAAGAGCACGAAAATATTTCAATATCTTACAGTGTTCTAAATATTTATTTTTGACTAGTTTTTAGTATATGTTAGAGTACATATCAAACTTACTTTTGATACCTGGAACGTGATTCTATGTGAAAAATTAATGTATCTAAAGAGGTTTTTCTGCAGACTTACGCGTCGCGGTGATTCAGATTTGTTGCGTTGTAAACGTATGTCGACTGTTTCAAGTATGATTACGCAAACAAACCGAGTGCAAAAAATCAAAACTTCATATTATTCAAACAATCATAAATAGGCCTTCTTACCATAGAAATCAATTTATTTTTACACCGTTGAATTTATTAATTACCAGTCCTTGAATCACTAATTATTCGGAAATGGCCAAAATCCGGAACTGGCCAAACGACTGTAATTAAGTTAACTGATAAGTTAACCGGATTATGCTTTTATTCTGCAATATTTATTTTCAAACTTACAATAGAAAAATACTTTATTATTTTTTAAAGTTTAAAAACAGTTTGCATTAAAAAGCAAGCATTATTCTAAAACTTTAACATGAATTTGAATTCATGATCACTAATTCTGACTGTATACACATCTTAGCAAAAATCATTAAGTATACCTTCCTGTGCTTAAAAAGAGATTACCTCCCTTGCGTACTTTATAATTTCCTTTTTAAAAATATGATAATATTTCGTGCTGAATTAAATGAAGGTACAGCATGTGACGAGTGTACTGTCTGTCAACCAATTCCTGACTCGTCTGGACAGGTACAATAGATCCTCTGGGTGACATCATTACGTCACTCGTACCGTTATATGTTGACCTTCACCTGGAATATGACGTCAGGTTATTTGTAAATCCGGGGATCCCATATGCACTGGCTTGTCCAGAAACATTAGTACTGAAGGATGAAAATATAACAGATTTCTATATTTCTCTTTTTACTGTAAACTCAGATATAAATTATAATTTATATTTTAAATTGATAATTTATATCTGCGTGAGATAGGGCCGATTCTGGCCCTTGGAGACCCTACCTCTTTTTATTTTTACGTTGTTAAGACCATCACGGTAATATCGTTTAATTTATTGGAGCCTAGATACAGGTAAATCATAACGGGTAAAATATTGTAATAATCAGTGATTGTACTTCGACTTTTGACACTTGGAACATACTCTCTCTCATAACGAACATGGTTAACACCCTATCATATTCCTAGTAGTGTATCAACCCTGTTACAGGCATTTTGGACATTGATAGTACAGTGAGAATAAGACTGTTTCGCTTTCACGGCTAAGGACGGGCTGTCTCAGTCCGACCGTTGTGTATTCAAACAACTCTTAAACTGTGCAACTAGCATTTTATATACATGTATGTAATTTGACCAATATAATCTACACTGCACTTGAGATTTTTCTTTTATTTTCCAATGCCATGTAGGATTTTGATCTCCTACTCTGGCGCCAACTTCTCCCTGTGGGTATGATCTGAACAAATAGGAATCCAAACTGCAGTAGAAAGTGTCACAAATATTCAATAAGAGGACCATGGACGACATCGTTCACCTGAGTAACTTTTGCCATGCTGTTCTTTACCAGATCCCCCAACCCCTAGTAATACATATTGTAACTCCAACGTACCCACAGGGGTCATGATTTTTACAACTCAAAATCTACATTACCCATGGAAGCTTCCATATAAATTTCAGCTATACTGGCCCAGTTGTTATTGAAAAGACTTTTCCCTTTATACCGGGCATTTTAATGTAAAACATGGTGTCCCTATTGTGGCCCTGCCCTTAAACCGGGGGTCATCATTTTATCAATTTAGAATCAAGGATGCTTCCACAAAAGTTTCAGCTTTTCTGGCCCAGTGATTCTTGAAAAAAAAAGATTTTTCTTATACATTTCAATGTGAAACATGGAATTCCCTATTGTGGTCTTCTACATACGATTAATTCAAGATGAATGGAAACTGCAAATAATTGGAGTTCTATGTCCAAGGGGCATAACTCTGTCCAAAATGGATCGACTGTACCCAAAACAGAACTTGACCTGGATATTCTTATGATAAATCTGTAAAAATATACCAAAATTTCATTTCAGTATGTCCAGCCTTTGTGAAGAAAATGAATTACACTTGCAAATACATGTAATTGGATTTTTCAAAATTGAAAATAATTGGATTTTTTTCTAAGTCCAAGGGGCATAACTCAGATTCACTCCGTCCAAAATGGCTTTATCATAGCCAAAACTTGTTCTAGATATTCTTATGATAAATCATTTATGCCCAATTTGAATGGCAATTTCATTTCAGTGCGTGCAACCTCTGCAAAGAAAATGAAAGGAAACAGAAAGATAGACAGCATCAAAGCAAGATGCCCTGCCTTCTTCGAAAGTGAGTGGGGAGAATAAAAATAAAATCCTGTAGCAATGTTGAATACACAAAAATGTCTGAAAAATTACAATTTTAAAATATCCATGAACAAGAATAAAATTTGTATCTTTATAATCTCTTTTATTTTTTTCATCAATTGGTAAAGAACATTCCAGGAGTTTTCTGAAGTTTGTACTTTTCCTCACTTACCAACAAACATTTTTTTTTTACTTATCCAACGAGAATCAAAACTTAAGGATACATTGTATGTAATGAGATACAAACAAAACAATAACTAGTACCTTACACAAACACAAAACTAACAACAAAAGCAAATACAACCTGCAATCTGTCACCAGATCTAACAGCACTACAACAATAATCATCAAAATTCCTCGGAGGAAAATTTAGGTTTGTAATGCTCATAAATAATAATCAGAATTCCTTCTTAAATACATATTTTATTTGAGACAAATCTAAAAACAGTGGAAGATTTGGTATCCAAATTTAGAAAAAATATTTCAAACAAACCTTTGAATTCTTAGATGAAATGTTTTCAATATGCCTGGTAAAATTAAGTCAACCTGAGCTTGATATTCTGAATGATTTTTTTGTTGCTTTTACAGTGAAATACTCATGAGGGATGAATAAGTTATTAAGATTGGTCACAGGAAACTGCAGCTAGTTCAGACCAGCAGAGGCAGCAGTGTATATGTATACATAATGATAATGAGTAAAGCAATCTATAATAGACTTGTCAGACATTGTGAATCTACACATTCCCACCACAACAAATAAATAATAATTTATCTCTCCCTGTAAGTTCCACACCCGATAATAATCAATCATTGTATTGTACAGTAATTGTTTTCAACAGATCAATGCCAGAGTTAAGTCCCCTGATTTTCGCCCCGTGTTGGACTTTGGACGCGATGCCAGTGGGAGGTCGTGACCCTGTTTTGGGAAAGGGTTCTCTTTCACTTTCAGTTTTATCATCTCTTCCTAGAATTAAATTATAAATATAAATTAATATTTTTTTCACTTTTTTCCCCATTATTAACTGATTCACATAAAAATCACTATTTACAGACTATGTTTTACTAATTAAGGATGCTGAATGTGATATTCACTAGACTGAATGCATGCTGTTCTTCAGTCGAGTCGATAGCTCCCCTTACTTGGATCCGAAGATGAGATCAGCATCCGGGGCCCCCTTGGGGTGCTGGTACCTCACTCTTCTCTCTCGGTTGGTGTTGACCGGCATTACGCGATTCAGGGACGCTATCATCTCTGTAACAAAAGAAACAGTCACTCAATAACACACTCTCTTAACAACCACTCTAAATCAAAATAATTTGAAATAAATTTTACTATTTTGAGAATTTCTATGTTCTATTTTATTGAAATTCTGCTGTTTCAGTCTAGAAACTGAAAATAGATCCTGAATACACGTTCACATGACATATTTTATACTGTAACAGTAATAAGTAACATGTGACAAATACTGTAGAAGTACTTTTTTCCACGTAGTATTAATTTAGGCTATGTACACGGTCACAAATTTTCCGCGGAAATTTGTCCAAGCGTATTTAATTTAAATGTATGGCATATAGTGACAGTCTAGAAAATTTGCGTAATTTTCTCTCTGTGGATTAAACAGAAATTGAGATTCCGCAGATGTATGACTCCATGGAAAAAAGTATGTCTACGATAATACTTAACATGTGACATATACAAGTAACATGTGACATATAATGATTGACACCTGACATACACTATACAGTTACCTTGGTAATCCTCCTCCTCCTGTCTCTCGTGGATCCCTAACACGACCTGCTTCATCTTCTCCTTCTCTGCTTTCTCCGCCTGTCAATACAACGTTCATCCAGTCAATACAACATTAGTCCAGTCAACACAACATTCATCCAGTCAATACAACATTCATCCAGTCAATACAACATTAGTCCAGTCAATACAACATTAGTCCAGTCAATACAACATTAGTCCAGTCAACACAACATTCATCCAGTCAATACAACATTCATCCAGTCAATACAACATTAGTCCAGTCAATACAACATTAGTCCAGTCAACACAACATTCATCCAGTCAATACAACATTCATCCAGTCAATACAACATTAGTCCAGTCAATACAACATTCATCCTCAATTTGTAAAATGTCATTTAATTTGATCAACACATCCATAATCTCTTCATAAAAGGCTTATTCACTTTTAAAATGTAAAAATTCTGCTTGTCAGTAACCAACAATACCTGCATAATATACTTCTTTTCCTTAACAGATGATTCTAGAATTATTATGAAAGAAACAATTTTTTTTTAATTTGAGAGTAAAAAATGACCTGTTCTCTTTCTCTGTACTTTGTGGCAAACTCTTCAGAAATTGGAACATTCAGATTAGTGAACTAAGAAAAGAAAAAAGGCATGAAAATACAATTTACAGTATATCTATTGTATATTTACAATAAACACTTTACATTTTAAACAAAATTAAAATCATTACAAACTGTTAGCATTAGAACTTTATGCCCACAGTAACCTTAGATGTTCCTTTCCCATGTGAAAGAATCTTGAAAATACAAGTCCCAGCTTTCAGTGAAAACAGTTGGAGTTGGTCACGAAATGAAATTGTATTACATTTTATGTACAGAGAAATACTGATGTTTGAGCAGAGTTCTGAACCAAAATTTAATTTTCAAAAATCTACCTTATATTTCGGCATGATAGAGAAATGTCACCCTGCTATAGCCACATGTAGTACCTGTTGTTTGTTCCCTCGCCGCGTCATCAACACGAATTCTATTGACCTGTCTTCTTCTTTTGGCACTTCCTCCTCTTGCATTGGATACAAATTCACATTTACTGAAAAACAGAAATCTAGTCTACAGTCATGTAATCTATATGTTCAGTATTTTAAATTTCATTAACACTGCTTCAATATGTAATTCACTAAACCAGTTGAAGGAACAAGAAAATAACATATTGATCAACACTTCCTCAGCCCTGCCACTTTCTATTTTGACTTTGTAGTTATTTTTTCACTCTCGTCCTACCTATTTTCTTGTTCTTGTCTTTCAGGTTCATTGGGACGGCGATGTCCAGCTGAGGGACTTTCAGAGACTCATTCGTACGTGCCTAGAAAACGAAAACAAGAGGCCCATGGGCCTTATAGGTCACCTGAGCATTATGCAACAACTTTCCAGTGATTGAATTTGATTCATGTTTTAAGCCAGATGCGATGGCATTCACAATTTTGAAAGAGGCACCATTGATCATCATAACAATAAACTTAGCAGTTGCTTATTTTGTTTACTTAATACCCATACGCAGGGTAAGGGAACACAAAATGCATTTCAACTAATCAGTAATATTCAGCAATAATCAGTAGTGCCCCTACCATACATGAACCCCTGACCCTTAGGCCTTAATATTTGATTAATACCAAGGAGCAGATTTCAAACCATTTATTCATTTTCAGTATATAAGTACAACCCCCCCCCCCCCCTTTATGGTACCCCTGACCCTGGGGCCTTGAAATTCATAATTGTGGAAGATATGGGCTCTTGTCCATCATAAATATATTGGTAGTTCATCTGCTTTAATACCCTGGAGCAGAGAAGAAAATTTTCAAAGATTTAATGTATTTTCACTATATAATCAATAGAGCCCCGCCCTAACACCAGAACCCCTAACCCTGGGGCCATAAAATTTACAATTTTGGTAGAGGCACTCTTGCTCATCATAACTATGTACTTAGTTAGTTTATTTAATACCAGGGAGCAGAGAAGAAGATTTTCAAAGAATTCATGTATTTTCACTATATAATCAATAGAGCCCCGCCCTAACACCAGAACCCCTGACCCTGGGGCCATAAAATTTACAATTTTGGTAGAGGCACTCTTCCTCATCATAACTATGTACTTAGTTAGTTCATTTAATACCCGGGAGCAGAGAAGAAGATTTTCAAAGAATTCATATATTTTCACTATATAATCAATAGAGCCCCGCCCTAACACCAGAAGCCCTGACCCTGGGGCTATAAAATTCACAATTTTGGTAAAGGCACTCTTGCTCATCATAACTATATACTTAGTTAGTTTATTTAATATCCAGGAGCAGAGAAGAAGATTTTCAAAGAATTCATGTATTTTCACTATATAATCAATAGAGCCCCGCCCTAACACCAGAACCCCTGACCCTGGGGCCATAAAATTCACAATTTTGGTAGAGGCACTCTTGCTCATCTTAACTATGTACTTAGTTAGTTCATTTAATACCCAGGAGCAGAGAAGAAGATTTTCAAAGAATTCATATATTTTCACTATATAATCAATAGAGCCCCGCCCTTACACCAGAACCCCTGACCCTGGGGCCATAAAATTCACAATTTTGGTAGAGGCACTCTTGCTCATTTTAACTATGTACTTAGTTGGTTTATTTAACACCCAGGAGCAGAGAAGAAGATTTTCAAAGAAATAATGCATTTTCACTACCTACTTATTTAGCCCCGCCCTAGCACTAGAACCCCTGACCCCAGGGCCATGAATTTCACAATTTTGGTAGAGGACTTATTGCTGATTACAATCATGCAAACAGTTTGACTGCTTGATGTCCAGGAGTAAAGAAGAAGATTTTTAAAGATTGCACTAATTTTAGTGGTTTTGGCCCCACCCCACAGGCCCCAGGGGGGCAGGGATCATGAAATTCACAATTTTTGTTCCCCTTCACCCATAGATGCTTTATGCCAAATTTGGTTAAAATTGGTTCAGTGGTTGCAGAGAAGAAGCTGAAAATGTTCAAATGTTAACGCACAACGCACGACGACGGACGAAAACAGATAGCAATAGGTCACCTGAGTTTACTCAGGTGACCTAATAAAGGCAATGCAATATCTTACATAATCTATTGTACTTGCTACCAACACCTTCAGAACAATTTTTGTTTGCTAAGTATTATTTCTATTTTCTGAGACGATCAAAACATCAGAAAATCAGGGACAGATAACATATGCTTTCCATACTACCAAATTAAACTGTTACAGACTGAGATAAACAAACACTGTACTTCACTTGATTTAAAACCATACTCAAATGACAGTAATTTTTGAAAGTGATTCTTTTAGATTAATAAATGTATAGACAAATGTGCCATTTTACGCCTCTTTAGAGCAGTGTGGTATCCTGTAAAGTATGTTCCATTAGGAATCAAGCATTAAACCACTCACCTGAATGTTCTCCGACATCATTTTGTCAAAAGCTGTCATAAAATCCTCATCCTCCGTACACTTGATGTGCTTAGGGCCACCTTTCATTATTGTCATCTACAAAATGAATTATCAAGTCCACATATATATAGTGATTCCAAAACATGTGTTCAGAAAATATGACATGTGAGTGAAAATTTCATATGACATGAGCCCATTGCAGAGAAGTCTGAGAGAGGAATGATCAACAATTCTGCATAGGAGATTGTAATTTCAGGTATGTTGTACTTTCCCTTTGCACTCTCTTTTTGCTCTTTCACTTTTCCTTTCTCACCTGGTCATCCTCTTCGTTTTCCCCTGCGCTCTCCATGATATCATCATCTTCCTCATTATAACTGATCCCTCCCTCCTCTTCTCCCTGGAAAACCATTACATGTTTACAGTAATATGTTAACAATTTTAATGCCTTATTAGTCTTGTCTCTCTGTTGTTAAAAAAATCTCCTTCATAGAGATAAAGAGTAAAATCTATTCAGTTTGTAAATTCCAAAGATGATCTTTTATCGTGTTTATGTTTATCACACTTAATCCTACATAGTATTACATAGAGATCCTGTAAGTTACTTTTAATTAAACATTCTAAATCCTTTGACAATTTTTCTTTCAGATTACATTAAGATAGGTGAATCTGAGTTCCTCTTTTTCAACAGTAATTCTGTGACCAACTCATCATAACGTTGCTATAACAGCGTGGGAATTTCTCACCTCCTCATTATTGCTCCTCTGACTGATATCCTCCTGACTGGTCTCACTCTCGTCCACTCCACTTAAACTTAGGTCCTCACCTTCAAAATAAAATATTACAAACTTTTAATTCACATGTTTGACTGTGAAAGAGTCAAGGACTGTCGATGGAAGTCTAGAAATACTTAAGTTTGTATTATTACCTATATGGTTGAAAAAACGTTTTATTGTGTGTGTTTTAAAATGATATTTTATTTTTAACGACAAAAGATTATCCTTAGATTTATAAAGTCTTGCAAATACTTAAGGAATATTTTTAGGTTTTGTTTGAGTTATTGGTGTGTGAATCACACAGACTTGTCACGTAGGCATATTTCATGAAGCGCGCGAGCGCGTCATGAAAAATATGCCTACGTGCAAGTCTGTGTGATTTTCACACCAATAATTCACACTAAACTTAAAAACATTCCTTGTATTTACATTTTACATGTTTGGAAGCACAAAAATATAATATTGAATTTCTCGCTGTCCTATATCATTATACTTTTACTAATGTCGCTGAAGCCTTATTGTGACGTCACGTTAACGCACGTTTCTCTGTGTATATTTCTACGCGTGAATATACACGAAAATGGTTTTCAAATCAATTTCACAGTTGGCTTAGTAGAAAAACACAGCAAATGTAAATATATAATGATGGTTACTAATTCCCAAAAATCAAAACAGAACTGTATAGAATCTTGATTTGTCCTCATTTCACAAACAATCCACATATTGTTCAGGTACAGTATCAAAGCTCAACTGAAATATTTACCCTTGCCTTGCTGGACTTTTTACAAGGAAACCTGCCCTATCCCCAATTTTAAGAGGACTTCAGTCCCCCCCCCCTTAACCGTATTCCTCCGTCTCCTGTATCATCCCCAGTCCCTGCCTGACAGATTATTACAGGACTTTTGTCCTCCTTACCGTACTCCTCTGTCTCCTGTATTGTCCCCAGTCCCTCCTCTGTCTCGCTGGCACTTCCCTCCTGATCTGTCTCTATAATCGTCAACACTGAGGCTGAAATAATACATTGATAGCTGTAAAGGTCTGTTAACCTTACAAACATAGTTAATATGTCATGTTTTCATTTCTATTCTGATCTTCATCAACTTAAAGGTGGACATTTCAATTTGTAGAAATTTTTTTCTTTGAATCTATCTTTAAGAAAAAAGGAACAATTTAAGGTATATCAATTCAGGTTTCTTATTTTCATTTTTAATTAATACTTCTCTATTTTTCCACAGTGACTTAGTACATGACCTACTTTTCTGTTTGTACCAGTTCTTTGTGACACCGACCTACTTTCTATTTGTTCTAGTTCTTTGTGACACTGACCTACTTTCTGTTTGTACTCGTTCTGTGTGAAACTGACCTACTTTCTGTTAGTATTCATTCTTTGTGACACTGACCTACTTTCTGTTAGTATTCGTTCTGTGTGACACTGACCTATTTTCTGTTTGTACACGTTCTTTGTGATGCTGACCTACTTTCTGTTTGTACTCGTTCTGTGTGACACTGACCTACTTTCTTTTTGTACTCGTTCTTATACTAACCTACTCTCTGTTTGTACCTGTTCTTTGCGACACTGACCTACTTTCTGTTTGTACCCGTTCTTTGTGACACTGACCTACTTTTCTGTTTGTACCAGTTCTTTGTGACACTGACCTACTTTCTGTTTGTACTCGTTCTGTGTGACACTGACCTACTTTCTGTTTGTACCCATTCTGTGTGACACTGACCTACATTCTGTTTGTACTCGTTCTGTGTGACACTGACCTACTTTCTGTTTGTACTCGTTCTGTGTGACACTGACCTACATTCTGTTTGTACTCGTTCTTATACTGACCTACTTTCTGTTTGTACTCGTTCTGTGTGACACTGACCTACTTTCTGTTTGTACTCGTTCTTATACTGACCTACTTTCTGTTTGTACCCGTTCTTTGTGACACTGACCTACTTTCTGTTTGTACCCGTTCTTTGTGACACTGACCTACTTTCTGTTTGTACTCATTTTCTAGCTCCTCCACGGCTTTACCAGCCTCCTCGTAGTTCTGATGGAGTTTCAGTTTGGGTCGTACACACTCCATCGTGTCGATCATCAGGTTCTCTACATCCACCGGAAACGGTCGAGTCTCTGTGAAGATCCCACTACTTCTCTTAAACCAGTAGTAACGCTAGAAAAAAAAAAGTCTCATTTTTTTGTGGATATGAGTACAAACATAAAGGTTTGAATAATCTTATCATTTCTGTTGTTCTTTACAAATCTAAAAGCAACTGTTATTGAATAATAGAAAGTTTTATAGAGAACTGAGGAGCTACTTGAAAGAGGCAATCCTCTGAGGCAAGTAAACAACCCGTTTTCTTACCTGGAAGTATGCCAGGAAACAATCCAGTTTCTTCTTGCTGGATCCCTTGTCAAAGTATGTACCACAGGTCTCCAGCAGCACACACACCAGTCGGATCCTGAACAAGTGCTCTGGTGGATCTAAGGGGGACGGGTTAGCCTCTAAACAAAGGGTGAACACTTCATACATTAATTCACATGTATCCAAAACGAAAAAATAATATACCCTTACGTGCAGGAACATCATCACAACCTTTGATTTTAATGGAATGAGAGTTGCTGATCTTCACTAGATTTTTAAATTATAAACAAGGAAGTATATTCTTTCAATCAACTTGTAACTTTTCAAAAAAGATACAATTTATTGTTTCATGTAGGGCATTTACTCATCTATCTTGTATCTGTAGAGTTACGATCAATGCTTATTATTGTTTCAATACTGATAAGTTTCCAAGGTCTGTCTCACCATCCATGACGACTCCAAAGGTGATGAAGGAGTAGAGAGTTTTGAAGATGACGGCGGACTCCACCATACGATAGTTATACAGCTCTCCCAGATACTTAACACAGCTCACTCGCCTCTGGTTATACTTAGGGTGGTTTATCTGAAAAGCGTATTAATAGTTTACACTCATTGACACTTTTTTTTTCATTTGTACAGCATATAATTTGGAATATGCATGTATCTGTATCACTGTAAAAAAATGCACTTCCCTTTGCTAAAAAATTATGATGCAAATCATTCTGCTCTGAATTTTTTCTGACGTTTAAGCTTTATATACTTTTTTAAAAAATGCGAAAATGGTGTGATATCAAAAATTAACATAATTTTTTGATTAAGTAAAATCAATTTTCATGTAGCCTAGTTTACTGTCAAGCACTGTAAGGTAAATATAATTCCTTAACAGTTACTTCTGTAACAGTGACGGTATGATGGATCTTTGCAAATACCACACGATACACAGGATTTTGTAATTATACACAGTACTGACCTCCATTCCTAGTCTAATGTCTTCCAACACTCCATCTACCACCTGGATGGCTATGTGTTCCTGTCAGGAAAGCAGTAAAAAGATCAGAATCACAGCATCACACAAGCATAGTATTAATAACTGGTGACTCTTTATAGTTACTCTTAATGCTACCTAAGTATAAGGAACACACAGTGAAACATGTTTTATTGACTTGAAATAAAATTTTGTTCATAATTGTAGAAGTCATGAAATTCAGTTGTCCGTCATACTTACGTGATAGGGGGCCAGACCGGCCAATAGATTGGCAGCACAGTGAATAGAGTTATAGCGTACATTCCACACGGCAATCATACACTTAGTGGCGTAGAACGCAATCTGTAATCATACAATATAGAAATCTACATAGGAGTTCTATACTGAGTGGCATAGAACTTAATCTGTAATCATACAATAAAGAAATCGGTACATGTACAATAGTCATACACTTAGTGGCATAGAACGCGATCTGTAATCACTGATCAAACAAATAAATCTCTACAATAGTCCTACACTTAGTGGCATACTAGAATACAATCTGTAATCAAACAATACATGTACACAAATCTATACAGCACTCCTACATTTAGAGACACAAAATGCAATCAGAATAAAATATGAGGCACGCTATTTAAATACTTCTACTCAGCACTGCTTGCTATTAACATTAAAATTTGTGTTATATTGCTGAAACACAGCAAGAACTGTAAGTTGTTCAATCCTTTGCTCTGAAATTCATGTCCCCATAATATACATCCTCACAATGTCAAGGGTTTGTGATTTCTCGAACTGGAGTTCGAGAAATCACAAACCCTTGACATTGTGAGGATGCATAATATAAGACCTTCCAGTCATTTAATGATGTAAAGTTCTCACTTTGTAGGACAAATCAACAGTAATTGTAATCATTACACTGAGCTTCAGCTAGTTATGATATTAGTCCTGGGAATTACCTCTGTATATGTAATCATTACACTGAGCTTCAGCTAATTATCATACTATTCCTGGGAATTACCTCTGTATTGTCAATATTAATATATTATTTCTGGGAATTACCTCTGTATTGTCAATATCAATATATTATTTCTGGGAATTACCTCTGTTTTGTCAATATTAATATATTATTTCTGGGAATTACCTCTGTATTGTCAATATTAATATATTATTTCTGGGAATTACCTCTGTATTGTCAATATCAATATATTATTTCTGGGAATTACCTCTGTATTGTCAATATTAATATATTATTTCTGGGAATTACCTCTGTATTGTCAATATTAATATATTATTTCTGGGAATTACCTCTGTATCGTCAATATTAATATATTATTTCTGGGAATTACCTCTGTATCGTCAATATTAATACATGTATATTATTTCTGGGAATTACCTCTGTATCGTCAATATTAATATATTATTTCTGGGAATTACCTCTGTATTGTCAATATTAATATATTATTTCTGGGAATTACCTCTGTATTGTCAATATTTATATAATATTAGTCCTGGGAATTACCTCTGTATCGTCCCATGGAAGTCTCCTCATCTGTCTCAGAACCTGAAATTAAACATAAAAACCCCCCAAAATTACAAGTACAGATGATGATTTACATGTCCAAGAGGACCAATGTATGGGGTCATAAAACTTAAACAAGCTCACTTTGGGTCTCATTTTTAGATTTCAACTTAAAATGCCTTTGATATTTTGTAAAAGTGTGAGCATAATCAAAAGTGAGCTCATCTCATTTAATTTCCCTAGAACATAATCTTGTAAGATTTATCAAGGCAATTCTTTTTAAGTTACACAAATTGCATCAATTCTGACCTTCTCTGTGGTGACTTTAGACAGGTCTTTATACAGAAGTTTACGGATGTACTCATGCATTGGGGGCCGTACTTTCTGGGCAGTTTGCTGGGTCTCAGGAGGATTGCTGTAGTAGAAGGCGTTCTCTATCATGGTGGTGTATCGACTCTCTAGGTGGAGGGCAGATTTCTTCCTCATCATAACATCCTACAATAGGACCAGAGTTACTTATTAAATCATACCATCCTACAATAGGATCAGAGTTACTTATTACATCATATTATACCATCATAACATCCTACAATAGGATCAGAGTTACTTATTACATCATAACATCCTACAATAGGATCAGAGTTACTTATTACATCATAACGTCCTACAATAGGATCAGAGTTACTTATTACATCTAATCATACGAGATATAGTATTTACCAGACATATTTTGTTGAGATATAGTAATAACAAGGTATATTTATTTCAAGTTACTTGTTAGTTAAGTGAGATATTAATTACCAGGTATATTTTGGTCAGATATACATGTACTAATTACCAGGTATATTTCGGTGAGATACATAATTATCAGGTATATGTTTTTGAGATATATTAATTACCAGGTATATTTTGGTCCTGTGGTGGGAGTCCTGAGATCTATAGAGAAACCGTCCACAGGAATCTAACAGAGAGCACGCCATCTCTATGTTGTGGTGGGAAAAGTCAAACATCAGCATCTAGTCAATAGAGAAAAGTCAAACATCAACATCTAGTCAACAGAGAAAAAGTCAAACATCAGCATCTAGTCAATAGAGAAAAAGTCAAACATCAGCATCTAGTCAATAGAGAAAAGTCAAACATCAACATCTAGTCAATAGAGAAAAGTCAAACATCAACATCTAGTCAACAGAGAAAAAGTCAAACATCAGCATCTAGTCAATAGAGAAAAGTCAAACATCAACATCTAGTCAACAGAGAGAAAGTCAAACATCAACATTTAGTCAACAAAGAAAAGTCAAACATCAGCATCTAATCAATAGAGAAAAGTCAAACATCAGCATCTAGTCAATAGAGAAAAGTCAAACATCAGCATCTAGTCAATAGAGAGAAGTCAAACATCAGCATCTAGTCAACAGAGAAAAAGTCAAACATCAGCATCTAGTCAATAGAGAAAAGTCAAACATCAGCATCTAGTCAACAGAGAAAAGTCAAACATCAGCATCTAGTCAACAGAGAAAAGTCAAACATCAGCATCTAGTCAATAGAGAAAAGTCAAACATCAGCATCTAGTCAACAGAGAAAAGTCAAACATCAGCATCTAGTCAACAGAGAAAAGTCAAACATCAGCATCTAGTCAATAGAGAAAAGTCAAACATCAGCATCTAGTCAATAGAGAAAAGTCAAACATCAGCATCTAGTCAACAGAGAAAAGTCAAACATCAGCATCTAGTCAATAGAGAAAAGTCAAACATCAGCATCTAATCAATAGAGAAAAGTCAAACATCAGCATCTAGTCAATAGAGAAAAGTCAAACATCAGCATCTAATCAATAGAGAAAAGTCAAACATCAGCATCTAGTCAACAGAGAAAAGTCAAACATCAGCATCTAGTCAATAGAGAAAAGTCAAACATCAGCATCTAGTCAATAGAGAAAAGTCAAACATTTATTTCAAGGAATCAGTGTGTACAAAAAACCAGAAGTCTCTGTCGAGTCTAGCTCAGCATCTAATCAATAGAGAAAAGTCAAACATCAGCATCTAGTCAACAGAGAAAAGTCAAACATCAGCATCTAATCAATAGAGAAAAGTCAAACATCAGCATCTAGTCAATAGAGAAAAGTCAAACATCAGCATCTAGTCAATAGAGAAAAAGTCAAACATCAGCATCTAGTCAATAGAGAAAAGTCAAACATCAGCATCTAGTCAATAGAGAAAAAGTCAAACATCAGCATCTAGTCAATAGAGAAAAGTCAAACATCAACCTCTAAATACAAATTAAACAAGATCAGGGCTTACTTAAATTTATTTCAAAGACTTACAATTTACAAAAGATTTACAAAAAATGATAAGTGCCGCAACAGAATGTTAATTACATTAGATTACCTTCAAGCAATGAAGTGCCTCTGACTTGGGAAACAACTTGAATTTCACAAGTTCACCTTTAAAAGAGGTAAAAAATTGAAAGTCATATTTTGAATCATCAACAAGATTGTGCTTTGTGGGTAAACTTTTTAAAATTTTATCTCGATTGGATCATTACAGCCTTGAATGGCTTTAAAACTGTCACAAATATATAACTCACCTATAAATCTCACAGTCTTAAGCTTTGATTCTATGTTTATCTGGTCCTTCTTTCTTACCTAAAAGATAGAAATAAAAGATGAATTATCTTCACTTTACTTATTATCAAATATTAACTCTTTAATTAAACTGAGGAATCATAAATTTTAATTTGGGACTAAAGTTTGTGGATTGGGTCATCCTTAACCACAAATCTACACAGTCACGTACATTACCAGGAACAAATATTTTGTAAACAGATGTATTCACTTAATCTTGGTACAGCAAAACTCGGTTATAACGAAGTTGCTTGGACCTATGAAATTACTTAAGAAATAAGATATCATTTTTAGAGTTGCATTGGGGTATGACATGAAGTCGGTCACGTGATCAAATTCTATAACGCCCGAAGGGCGTTATAGTAGATTTGATCACGTACCGACTTCATGTCATGACCAAATGCAACTCTAAAAATGATATTTTATTTCTTATATTTATATTTTACGTTTTCATTCATTTTACAAACAAATATAGGCATTATTGAAATGCAACGTAACGTTGCTTTGACGTTATGTGACGTCACAGTCGGAACTTTCCAAATTGCACGTGCAGTTTGTTTTCCATACGCACGAAAGTCTGATCATGTGACCGACTGCATGTCATCGAAAATTGAATTTCATTTTTAGCCGGGCTCATTGCTCGTAGAGCAATGCCCGGCTATTGCGACGGTGAGCAACAGAAAATGCTGCTTCTTCACCGCCAAATTGAGTTTACGAGTAAAAATATAGTACGTACGCCCAGCCGCTGTTGAGAAAACTAAATCCATTCAAACACCTTAAGAAATAGTAAATGGAATATTTTTTATCAAAATATTAGATTGTTTAATATTTTTCCTGGCTCCTCTGACTAATATTTTACAAAGCAATTCAAAAGGTTTTCATCAGAATTTCACAGAAAATTCTATTTTTATCCCTGTCTGCGTCATATTCTATAAATAAAGGTTGTACTATCTGTGCTAACACAAATGCAGGGAACATCATTAATGACTTGATGCAAAACTCCCCGCTGCGGACACATCAGTGCATAGTCGTTTGACCTTAATTAATCTTGCTGCATCGGTGTTTATTTACTTCTGTTTGTATATAAAACCCCGAAACGATACATGTGATAAATATTTTATGCTGTTAATTTCTAGCTATATTTTATTTAATTTTTAAAACTTTTTAATACTATACATGCCATTGAGATATTTTTGTGTGTAACATATCCTCTAAACGTCTGAACTTGATTTTAAACTGTCACCACGGTCTTTGTTCATTACCCTGTAAATGAGCCCGGCTTTCAGTACTTCTGAGTACTTTGATTTTTTAGTATTGTCATATAAGGCAAGGCATTGGCAAATGTAAATATTTCGCTATATCTGTAATTCGTTATAACCGTATAACAAATTCATTAAATATATATATTTGGGGATTTGAGGTGACTTCGCTATATCCGTGAATTCGCAATATCCGTGTTCGTACTAACCGAGTTTTACTGTATTATTGAGTGACTCTTATAATTACATCCCATGAACCAACAACATTTTGTTTGACCATGAACATTGACAGAAATAAAAACGATTCCAAATTGTATACAAGTTTAATTTCAACCTGTTACTTTTGCCGTTTCACACACTTGCAAACAATTTTGCCCCATTAAAAAATACACCCAGTTATAATTCTGAATAAAAATTGTACTGACTTCTAAATTTGTCTAAGGCAAAAATGAAAAGGACCCTGAGGAGAAAATTTCCTGAATATTTATTTCTATGCCTATTTCTCCAGATTTAACAATCAATTATTACCAGTACATGTATGAAGCATCCTAGAAGTGTCGAGAAGTATTTCTATAACTTACATGCCACCTGAAGTCTCCCTTGAGAAGCTGTACCAGATCACTAGCCACGTCAGGCATACAGGGGTAGAGAGTGGCCACGAACCGCGAGTAGAACGGCAGCAGGTCGTACCTACAAATCAAACAACAATAGTCTCTGATCAGCAAGGTCAATCTATGACAAGTTAATTCGATTTTAAGTAAAAAAATCATTGTAGCATTTTTAAGAAAATGATTTTTCTAAATTGTTTCAAAATTAAATATTCCAGCTACTCCTGCCCATTCTAGATACGTAAATACTTGACTTTAACCTTCATACCCCCTGCCCCCTTTACTGGGAAACGTGAGGAAATGATAAGAGTTAAATACTGACCTGGTCCTGTGGATGGTAAACAGAGCCCTCACCAGCTTCTTCCTATCAACATAGCCCCAACACACACACACACACACACACAGTGGTTAAGCATGAGTAAATGATATGAGTTAAATACTGACCTGGTCCTGTGGACGGTAAACAGAGCCCTCACCAGCTTCTTCCTATTAACATAGCCCCCCCCCCCCCCCCCACACACACACACACAGTGGTTAAGCGGGAGTAAATGATAAGAGTTAGGTACTGACCTGGTCCTGTGGACAGTAAACAGAGCCCTCACCAGCTTCTTCCTGTTACTCTTGGTGTTACATAGCCCCCCCCCCCCACACACACACTGGTTAAGCATGAGTAAATGATATAAGAGTTTTGATACTGACCTGGTCCGGTGGACAGTAAACAGAGCCCTCACCAGCTTCTTCCTGTTACTCTTGGTGTTAAAGTTCATACAAAACTCAACTGCTGCCTGAATAAAAACACAAATCTAAACAACAACATGTAAAAGCAGTTTAATTACTTAAAGGTTCTATTATACAATGCCATGTAAATATCTAATTGTTAACTTGATTAGAAAATATGATACAAGTATAATATTCCTGAATTAAATTTTGATGGAAGACTCACTTTGTTGGTCAGGAATGATTTTCAAGGATTTCAAATCTTTACAAAATAAACCATCATTTGTGTACTATAAAACCACGTATTTTCGAGGGGTCAAAATTTCTTGTTTTGAGGAATATTTGTTGGTTTGTGGGGATTTGATTTTGTGGATGAAGAATTGATCAGCAGTAATATATGAAAGAAATTGCATTTCGTGGTGGACATAAATTTGTGGGTCTCTTTATACCTTGAAAACCATGAAAATTAAACTCCCATGAAAATTAGTGATTTCACAGTATTATGTTTACTATACCTTGTCTATGAGATCTTTGTTGACACAGTTGGGGAGTGTTTGGATGTAGGCCTCGTACTGCATCTTCATTAAACTCCCTGTGTCTGCGTCTTCCTCTATGGATTAATAATAATGAGTTTCTTTACTCTTGTTTTTCATTAGTCATTTTATAATTTTTAACAACTGTTAATGTAACTGAGTGAATACAATTAAACAATGGAAACATCTGCTGAACTGAAATGGAATGTTCAATATTTGAACGAGATATATTCAACTCCTTAAACACTTGAAACAAATTAAAGCTTAAGGACCCTCTCTACACCAGTGCAAAATGTTTTTTAGACATTGAGAAAAATATTTATATAAAGGTGTTAGTTAATATTGAGCATATTTATACAATTTTCACTGTATGGTGCATAGCATTTACCCCCGGGAAAAATGTCGAAATGCAACACAGTATTAGTGAATAGAAATCACTGTTGTTTACTTCCAAAGAGAAAATACCTGTAAATAACGTGTTCAATTAATTAATCTAGGTCTTTTAAAATGTAAAAAATATTTGCATCAATTAAAAATTAAGTAATGTACTGTAAATTAATTTTTTAAAGAATCAAGATCTAAGGGCAGATCACTCTAATTGCAGAAAAATAGCATAGAATAAGAACTCTTTAGTGTGCAGTGTAGAGAGGGTTCTTAACTGAGCTAAAACTGCAACAAGAGGCCCAAAGGCCTTAACGGTCACCTGAGTATAATACAACACTGAGCAGAGAAGACTGTTAATTAAATCAAATGTTTGTCACTATGTAATCAATAGAGTCCTGCTTTAAACACCAGAACCCCTACCCTTACACCAGAACCTGATCCATGAGGCTATAAATTTAACAATTTTGAAAGGAACACCCCTGCCTATCATACCCATGCAATCAAATTGTCTGCTAAAAATACAGTAAAAAAGAAGTGGCTTTTTGAAGCTTTTATGCATTTTCACTATATAATCACTGAGTTCCACCCTATCTCCATGACCCCCTGATCAAGAATTTCTTCTTGAAGATTTTTTTAAACATTATATTTAGTTTAAGGATTTTTAGCCCCATCCCTCAATAGGGAAAGACCATGAAAATTAATATCTGTTTTCTTCACCCATAGATGCTGTATGCCAAAATTCATTCAAATTGGTTTAGTGGTTTCAGAAAAAAAGCTGATTCAGGAATGTTCAAATGTTTATGCATGACACACAAGCATGGACAAAACAGATCTATAGCAGTAGGTCACCTGCATAACTCAGGTTACCTTTAAAATGCAGAACAGAAATTTTAAATAACTTCTTAATCCCAAATTTATAGAAACTTTGCAGAAGCAGATTTGAGTAAAACTCACTCTTTGGCTGCAACAATCCTGCAAATGTTAAATATTCTATACATAAGAAAGAAAAGATAACTGTTTTTTTAAGGGAGTTGTTAAAACACCACCAATGTGTACTTCTCACACACATACCATCAGCATCAGGTAATCCCTAACCCTCAACATCGGGTAACACTTACAGTCAGCCTTGTGTCACACTAACTGTCAATGTCGGGTAACACTTACTGTTCACGTCGGGTAACACACTTACCATCAGCGTTGTGTAACACTTACCCTTAGCGTCGGGTAACACTTACTGTCAGCGTCGGCTACACTTAACCTCAGCATTGGGTAACACTTACCGTCAGCGTCGGTAACATTTTACCTCAGCATTGGGTAACACTTACCTCAGCATTGGGTAACACTTACCCTCAGTGTCGGGTAACACTTACTGTCAGCGTCAGTAACACTTACCGTCAGCGTCAGTAACACTTAACCTCAGCGTTGGGTAACACTTACCGTCAGCGTCGGGTAACACTTACCCTCAGTGTTAGGTAACACACTTACCCTCAGCCTCGGGTAACACAATTACCGTCAGCGTTGGGTAACACACTTACCCATCAGTGTCAGGTCACAAACTTACCATCAGCGTCGGGTAACATCCCGTATTCCTCTGCTATCTCCTCCTCCTGTGCTGTGTCCTCAGCCTCTTTACTTTCCACCTCCGCGATCTGTTTCTCTGTCTCCATTTCTCTCTCCACATCCTCTATCTGAAGACTCTCCATGTCTGACAAAAACACAACCAACCAAAGATTTACTTTATCTCATATCAGTTAGAGAAGAAAATATGCATTTGTATGTACACGTATATACTGAGCTACTATGAAGGTCCACCTGCAAGGTTTAAAGGTTCAGAAATCAAAGTATCTTCACCGTTTTTCAGTACACTGAATTTAGGATTTACCTTCGTCAAGACAAGACAGATCATCCTTGCTGCCGTCTTTAGCTGATGTTTGTTCACTGTCCTTGTAGCAAATCTATAAAAACAAGCACAGGATGAAGGCTTATAGTGTCAATCACAGAACTGCAATTATTAATACTGAATGTTGAGAAAAAGTCTGCAATTTTATTTACACTGTACAAATGCTGTTTCAGACAAAATTCCATATTTCTTCATCAATCATGTTATCGAGTATATTTCCCTTACCCCTGGAATGAATGCCTTGAGGTCTGGTAAAGTTTCATAGAAGGATCTGGCATCCTCGTCTTCAAACAGAGTGCTGTCCCCTGTGTACTGAAACTATTAAACACAATGTTCATGAACAACAGATCTTTTTCTCAAATGATATTTTTTCTCCAATGATATTTAACTTTTAGCCTCAAAGTTTTGAAATAATGAAATGGAGTTTCAATGCCTACAATTTCAATGGTTTGAGATTGATGTATTACCACAAATACACAAGATCACAATGTTTTCCCTACAGACCAGCTACCGACCAAATGGACCGCTACTGAATTGACACAAATGCTGCTCTAAAATACCAGGTAATAATTTGTTGTAAGGTCAGCAGAATCTTTTTCACAAACCTGACAGTCCCTAGCCTGTTACAACTTATCTCTAACCCTTTACTTTAAAATGAATGGAAAACATTGGGTACATGTACAATGTATCTTGTCTAAAACAAAATCTCTACCTCTGCACTGGTCTCCGGATTAAATATGTCAAAGCCAGTGTCATCATCTCTTTTGATTTCTGAAATAAATACAGACAACTAACACATAAATCCCAATATACAGGGTGTCCCAGAATATATGATACCATTTCATGAAAATATAAAATACAATGTAATGAATTAATAAATGACAACAAATGCACTATAAACATTGCATATACTGTCCAATTCTATTCACAAAATTTTATGGACAATGATAGAAACACGACAAAATGAGTCCACTTTTGAACGAGAGGCCCATTGGCCTTATAGGTCACCTGTAGGGCTGGGACGATATATCAGAGTATCGATATATCGTGATATCTGTGGGGACAATATGCATATCGATACATTGAAGAAATATCGAAATATCACCTATGGAAATCTGACTTCAATTTTTCTTTGTTTATTTAACATTTGGGGTGTAATATATAAAATAAATAAGTTAAATATAAATATAGATATGAAATAAATAATAATTAACACTATTTGAGTAAAATGTTGTTTTACAAAAGACTATAAACAACTATTTTGAATAAATTATTCTTATTTGCAAAGAAATAATTTGTTTATTTCAATGCAAAAAAAGATTTTATTGGCAATTAAACATATCGTGATACATATCATATCGTGGCTCAAATATCGTGATACGTATTGATATAGAAAAAGTTGTATCGTCCCAGCCCTAGTCACCTGGGAATCATGCAACAACTTTCAAATGATTGATTTGGTTCATGTTTTAAGCTAGATGCTATGGCATTCACAATTTTGAAAGAGGTACCATTGCTGATCATAAATATTCACTTAGCAATTGCTTAGTTTGGTTACTTAATACCAATAGGCAGGGTAGGGGAACAACAACTGCATTTCAACTTATCAGTAATATTTAGCAATAATCAGTAGTGCCCCTTCCACACATGAACCCCTAACCCTAGGTCTATGCATTGCAGAACTTTTAAAAAGGCACCCTTGCTTATCAAAAATGTTTGACTAATAACAAGGAGCAGATTTCAAACAATTAATTCATTTTCAGTATATAGGTAGAGCCCCCCCCCCCCTATAGTACCCCTGACCCAGAGGCCTTGAAATTCACAATTCTAAAAGAAAGGCCCTTGTTCATCATAATTATATAGGAAGTTCATCTGCAAAATACCCAGGAGCAGAGAAGAAGATTTTCAAAGAATTTATGCATTTTCAATATACGAGGGTTGTTAGAAAAGTTCGAGGACAAGTTCTACTGAAAGCGCAATTTCAATGAAACCAGTTTAACTCCACAGATAAAAGCTTTACATACCGGTATTTCCCAATAAATATACAAAGATTGGGTGTTTTCTGATGATCCTTAAAAATATACAGCTATTTTATTTTCATTGATAAAACATGCTTCACTGAGCAAGCTTTGTTTTCGCATGTTTACTAATCATAGACGTTATATTGATATTAAAAATAGCATAGTTTTAGTGCAAAAAGATTTATTATGATTGGATATATGACCATTTTATAACAATTTATAAATAATAAATACATAACAAGAGGCCCAGGGGCCACATCGCTCACCTGAGCAATTGGCTAGGAAAAAAATTCAGATCAAATCTGAAAGTAAACTGGATATATTACCCCCCCCCCCCCCTTCATGATTTGAACAAACTTGAATCTACACTACCTAATGATTCACTATAAATATAACAAAGCCTGGCTTTGAAGTACTTGAAAAGAAAATTTTAAAAGGTTTCCCTATATGTTCCTATGTAAAACTTTGATCCACCATTTTGGCCCCACCCTACCCCCGGGGGTCATGATTTAAAAAATTTGAATCTACACTATCTGAGGATGATTCCACATGAGTTTCATCTTTCCTGGCCCAGTGGTTCTTGAGAAGAAGATTTTTAAAGATTTTTCCTATATATTCCTTTGTAAAACTTTGATCAGCCATTTTGGCCAAAACCTTCCCCCAGGGTCATGATTTGAACAAACTTGAATCTACACTACCTGAGGATGATCCCACATAAGTTTCCTCTTTCCTGACCCAAAGGTTCTTGAGAAGAAGATTTTTTAAGATTTTCCCTATATATTCCTATGTAAAACTTTGAATGACCATTTTGGCCCCACCCTACCTCCGGGGGTCATGATTTGAACAAACTTAAATCTACACTACCTGAGGATGATCCCACATGAGTTTCATCTTTCCTGGCTCAGTGGTACATGAGAAGAAGATTTTTAAAGATTTTTCCTATATATTCCTATGTAAAAATCGCCCATTAATTGCCCAACCCTAAAAGTCATGATTTGAACAAACTCAAAAACTACAAACTGAGGATGATTCCACATGAGTTTCATCTTTCCTGGCCCAAAGGTTCTTCAGAAGAAGATTTTTTAAGATTTTCCCTATATATTCCTATGTAAAACTTTGATCGGCCATTATGGCCCCAAACTACCTACAAAAGTCATGATTTGAACAAACTTGAATCTACACTACCTGAGGATGATCCCAAATGAGTTTCATCTTTCCTGGCCCAGTGGTACTTGAGAAGAAGATTTTTAAAGATTTTCCCTATATATTCCTATGTAAAACTTTGATCGGCCATTTTGGCCCAACCCTACCTCCGGGGGTCATGATTTGAAGAAACTTGAATCTACACTACCTGAGGATGATTCCACATGAGTTTCATCTTTCCTGGCCCAGTGGTTCTTGAAAAGAAGATTTTTAAAGATTTTCCCTATATATTCCTATGTAAAACTTTGATCGCCCATTTTGGCCCCACCCTACCCCCGGGGGTCAGGATTTGAACAAACTTGAATCTACACTACCTGAGGATGATTCCACATGAGTTTCATCTTTCCTGGCCCAGTGGTTCTTGAGAAGAAGATTTTTTAATATATTTTCTATATATTCCTATGTAAAACTTTGATCGGCCATTATGGCCCCACCCTTGCCCCGGGGGTCATGATTTGAACAAACTTGAATCTACACTACCTGAGGATGATTCCACATGAGTTTCATCTTTCCTGGCCCAAAGGTTCTTGAGAAGAAGATTTTTTAAGATTTTCCCTATATATTCCTAATGTAAAACTTTGATCGGCCATTATGGCCCCACCCTTGCCCCGGGGGTCATGATTTGAACAAACTTGAATCTACACTACCTGAGGATGATCCCAAATGAGTTTCATCTTTCCTGGCCCAGTGGTTCTTGAGAAGATTTTTTTAAAAATGCCATTAATTTTTCTTTAATTCATAATTATCTCCCCATGGAAAAGGGCATGGCCCTTTATTTGAACAAACTAAATGAATCCCCTTTACCCAAGGATACTTTGTACCAAGTTTGGTTGAAATTGGCCCAGTGGTTCTTGAGAAGAAGATGAAAATGTGAAAAGTTTACGACGACAACAACAACGACAGACAATGGACAAATTTTGATCAGAAAAGCTCACTTGAGCCTTCGGCTAAGGTGACCTAAAACCAAAGCCAAATCACTTAACTGCTCTGACATTTATTTTAAGATTTCACTAATATCAGAAACAGCACAAAAGACACTATAGAAGAAAAGTTACATCTCTTTATGTAGTTAATTCTTTTTTAAGTAGAAAAGAAAAGTCTAAAGATTTTAGAACTAAAATTATAAGCTTAAGGGAATTGAATTCTGAACGTCACGTCACATAACGTCAAGTGATTGCTCTGTGGATCCTATGACCGCATAGTAGAAAGCTTTGCAAATTTTCAAAATTTTAGTAAATGGACTTGATTTTTTTTTTACAATTTACATACTAATAAACAAATATAGGAATTTGATCAGACATAGGTCATACTTCACAGTGCACAATTATAGATTTTCCGTAAATCAATGTGTCCGCAAACTTTACGAACAACCCTCGTATAATCAATTATAAAGTCCCACCCTAACACCAAAACCCCTGAGTTGTGATGCACAATGACAGGCAAAAACAGATAGCAATAGGTCACCTGAGTGACTATCATCAATATCAAACAGCATATGAGGTTTGGTGAAAATATCTTAAAGTTAGTTTCTTTGAAACTGAGCTTCGAACTGAGCTAAATGCAAAGTGAGATGGAAGGACAGAAGACGGACATAACAAACACTTATAATATGCCCCCGCCATCTTCATGGTGGGACATAAAAACGATCATCTTCAATAGCCAAGGGTTTCTGATACGCTACTCTCCTCATGAACCCTTGGCATACAGTGAAGTCAAAAGACAGGATGTTTTCGTCACATGATCTCAAATCTATCATGTACGTACAGATTGCATCATTGACAGAAATAAAGACCTGTGTTTAAAAAGAAATTAAATCATAGTTTGTTTTTTCTTTCATGAATAATTAAATATCAATAATTGAGTTATGATTATTTATCATTTATAGTACAAATCTGAAGCTTAATATAGATTCTTAATCACATATTTAGAAGATATTGGATGACACCATAGCTATTCATAGAACTGCATGTTATCTTAGGGATTATTGTTTACTTGTGTTTTTCATTCCCGAGATTAAAGGGTCAAGAAGTATCCTGAACGCAAATATTGTCATTTACAAAAAACAATTGCTGATTGGTCGGCCAGGTGTACTGAATCCCAATCAGAACTTGAGAAATAAACAAGAGGCCCATGGGCCTTATAGGTCACCTGAGCATTATTCAACAACTTTCCAGTGATTGAATTTGATCCATGTTTTAAGCCAGATGCTATAGCATTTACAATTTGGGCATCATAACTATAGACTTAGCAGTTCCTTAGTTTGGTTACTTAATACCCATAGGCAGGGTAGGGGAACAAAAAATGCATTTCAACTAATCAGTAATATTCAGCAATAATTAGTAGTGCCACAACCACACATGAACCCTTGACTCTTAGGCCTAGATCCACACATTGTACAATTTTTGGAAAGGCATTCATGCTTTTCAAAAATATTTGATTAATACCAAGGAGCACATTTCAAACAATTCATTCATTTTCAGTATATAAGTACAGCCCCCCCCACCCCCCTCTATGGTACAACTGACCATGGGGCCTTGAAATTTACAATTTTTGAAGATTAGGGCCCTTGCTCATAAGTATATAGGTAATTCATCTGCTTAAAACCTAAGTGCAAAGAAGAAAATATTCAAAGATTTAATGCTTTTTTCACTATACATGAATAATCAATATAGCCCCCCCCCCAACACCAGAACCCCTGACCCTAGGGCAATAAAATTCATAATTTTGGTAGAGGCACTCTTGCTCATCATAACTATGTACTTAGATATTTCATTTAATACCCAGGAGCAAAGAAGAAGATTTTCAAAGAATTCATGTATTTTCACGGTATATAATCAATAGAGCCCCACCCTAACACCTGAGAACCCCTGACCCTGGGACCATAAAATTCACAATTTTGGTAGAAGCACTCTTGCTCATCATAACTATGTACTTAGTTAGTTTATTTAAAAACCAGGAGCAAAGAAGAAGATTTTCAAAGAATTCATGTTTTTTCTCTATATAATCAATAGAGCCCCACCCTAACACAAGAACCCCTGACCCTGGGGCCATAAATTCACAATTTTGGTAGAGGCACTCTTGCTCATTATCACTATGTACTTAATTAGTTTATTTGATACCCAGGACCAGACAAGAAGATTTTCAAAGAAATAATGTATTTTCACTCTATACTTATTTAGCCCCACCCTAGCACAAGTAACCCTGACACTAGGGCCATGAATTTCACAATTTTGGTAAAGGACTCAATGCTGATTACAATCATGCAAACAGTTTGACTGCTTGATGTCCAGGAGTAAAGAAGAAGATTTTTAAAGATTGCATTAATTTTAGTGGTTTTGGCCCCACCCCCCAGGCCCCAGGGGGGCAGGGATCATGAAATTCACTATTTTTGTTCCCTTTCACCCATAGATGCTTTGTGCTAAATTTAGTTGAAATTGGTTCAGTGTTTGCAGAGAAGAAGCTGAAAATGTTCAAATTTTAACACACGACGCACAACGACGGACGAAAACAGACGGCAATAGGTCACCCGAGTTTACTCAGGTGACCTAAAAACAACTTCTATCATTACCGTATGCCAAGGAATTATGAGGAGAGTAGCATATCAGAAACCCTTGGCTAGGAAAGATGAAAAACCATTCTTAGCAATCCACAATTTAATACCTAATATGCTACACTTTTGCATTATATTTATACAAGGAAAAAACTAATCCCATATCTGGAAATATTTTAAGCCAAAGTTCAAGTGTAATTAATTTCAAGTCGGTATCAGATATTGTCATCGAAAGCAACAGGAGTCCATAATACATGCAGGAAAAGAAATTGATAACTAGAGTTATATTGGGTAAGTAGGAAATTCAACATTTTGATCGAATTTGATTCAGTAAGAAAGTTTCCATATTTCCTAAGCAGAGTAACACATCATGGTATAACTGAACAATAGATGTCTACAATTTTAATTTCACTTGTCAAATTAGAATTGTAGATGTCTGAGCTTGACCTCTCAATACAAATCCATAGGAAGCTCCTTGTCTACCCAAACTTAACACCTGAGGTTAAATCTATGAATTCATAATAGCCTACACATTAGCAGAAAGGAATAGACGACACTGAAAATGGACACCATTAGAAGCTCACACACGTAAGTTTTAATGACAAGAATTTATAACACTAAAATCAATTCCTCATTCATCTGAATCAGTGTAATCAGTGTAATTTGTTGACAGTAAAATTGGTTTTCACTTTTAACACCACTGATATCCTAGACACTTCCAGTTATTAATTTCACTATTTAAGGTCATTGGCAACGAAGGGTTTCCGGAGAAAAAAGGTTTATACCCAGGTTTCTTTACTTATGAAAAAAAGTCATTGAGAGTGATCTCCCGTATGGAATCTAGGCGTGAAAACAAAGAAAGCATATTTAACAGACTGAGAGGTAAACAAAAGCATGTGTGTTTTTTTATTGGATATATTCAACTCTACGGTAATAAAAGAAAAGCAGGGATGGGTTTGTTTATAATTACATTGTGTTGAGGGGGCAGACAGTTAACAGGTCGTCATTTAGAATAGGTAAATGAATGCTGGGAAGTGCAAAGGTGTGAAATAATTATGCTGAAAGTGTTGATAGCTAGGTGGACCGAATGAGAACGATTCCATAGGTTATGTGAGTGATGCATCATTAAAAAGTTACTATAAATCCTTGCAAAAATGTTTTTTGACAGTTCGTTTCCAATTGAAAAGTATATTAAAAAAAAAAACAACACTTCTTTTCATTATGAATATTGATTAGATGTTATTACAGTAAAGCATTTTTAACTTCAAAATTAAAGATCAAATTATATATGTGTTTTTTTGTCATTTTCAGCTAAATTATATGCTTTTTCATCGGAAATAAGGTTTCAACAATGTGTTTTGCATAAACCTTATGAAATAAATGGGTTTTAGAGAAAACGTATGGTTAAAAATAATATAGGCCCATTTTATCAACATTTTACATAGGAAATTCATTAAAAATTGTAAAAACATTGATTTGACAAAATCGTTGAATCAGGTAAAGCTTTATTTTGTTGAAAGTAAAATTGAACATGTTTGGTACCATTAAACCTGTTCAAAAAATTTAAAGCATATATATCCTAGACACTTCCAGTTATAAATTTCATTATTTAAAAAAAATAACTGATTCAGTTGAGGAAGTTTTTTTTATATTATGATTAACAGGTATGAATGTAAAAATTCTTTCTTTTTTAATTAAGAGAAAATATACACTCCTCTGTCAACATTTCTTCTTAATAAAACAATAATTTATCAAGCTTATCAATTATGATAATTATAGTATAGATTTACAAAAGTGAAACATTAATCATACAAAGTTTATATAAATTGCACTTTAATCATTTTCAGAACTACAGCCATACAACGCATATCAGAGTCGGTGTTTGTGGGACTTTGTCGTAAAGTGGGGACCTCACAACTGGTGGCCTTGAGGAGAGATGTGGTGGACATCTGGGAGATGGTGGAAAATCAAGACTTAGTGTCAACAAGTGATGAGAACAGAATGATGTTTAGTGGAAGTCGCAGAGAGGGATTCAGACTGAAAGGATCAGATATAGACATGATGTTCTGGCTAAATGATCAACGTGTGATCTGGGACATATCGCAGTCTCAGTATTACAACACACGCAGACAGACACTGATCCTCTGTGACTGTTCTGATAGTCCACCAGGATTTACCTTGTTATATTTACTGTCACCAAGCATGAACAGTGATATCCAGAGATCTTGTGTTAGAATGAATAACAGACATTATATATCTAGTTCTAAATACAGACAGATCCTTATTTCTGAATCATCACTACCTTATAACTCCACTCCACATGGACCCTGTGCCAGTGGAACAATTGGAACACAAGAATTTGATAATGCCCACTGTTTTGTTTGTGACTTTTGGCCTCCGCCTGCCTTTTCATGGATACACAGATGTAACTTATGGCCCCAGCTTCATGTTGTTGATGATATAGTGAAAAATGGATGTCACTTTGTAGCAATTGGACATAAGCTAGGAAATCATGAAGATCATGAATGGAGAATTTCTTTCTCCCGAGCAGAACAAAAACTTGTGTATGCAATGAATCACTGTCAATTCTTAACTTACGGCTTACTTAAATTGATCTTAACAGAAATAATTAACAATGGAGTAGGAGATGATGATAAATTACTGTGTTCCTATCACATGAAGACAGCAGTTTTCTGGGTGATTCAACAAAATATAATACCTCACTGGTGTCCACAAAATCTCCTGGGGGGTTTCTGGGTCTGTTTTAAACTCATCCTCAAATGGGTGTATGAGGGAGTCTGTCCTAACTTTTTCATTCCAGGCAACAACATGTTTCTGGGTAAAATTTGTGGAGTCAAACAACATCAATTATTTATAAGACTGTCAGAGTTGTATGAGAAGGGTTTAGCATTCCTGCTACACAGTCCCTCCATTAGGTCTTATATTATAGATGTCCTACATAACCCCAGAAACTCCATCTGTACAGATGAACATGCTCTGATTTCTGAGGTTGGGTTTGATAGAAATTTATTTCTTGAAACACTACGTGATAGACCACTGCAGAAATTGGACATACAAAACTGCATTAGATGTCTACATACAATAGAACAGATGATAGGTTCACCCCTCCTGACACGGTATCAAGTCTTAACACTACAGAACATTACCGCAAGTGTCCTTCAGAGCACTGCTTTTACATTACACATAGAAACTTACACACCTGACAACAAACTGAGTTACAGAGCTGACATAATCTCCTGTCACATGTTGAAATTAGCAGCCAAGTTTGGTTGTATTACTGACATACTGTACATAGCCATGTATTATTACAAGACACTTAGATACGTGGAAGCTTTATCTATTATAGAGATGATCAAGGTCAAGTTAGCACAGCCATATGTGATGTATATAAATTATGTAGATGCAGAGATGTATACTGAGGCTGTAGGGGGACAGTCCTGGTCTACAAAGATGAGACAGGCTGTAGCAGGGGAAGTCACACTTAACCTTGAAATCCCTTACATCAGTGAATTGATACCTGAACAACAGTCTGCCCTACAGAACCACTGGCCTTGTTTAGTTGTACCACCCTTTATACTATTGTACATGCTAGAGATCTTGTGCTACAGACATGTAGACACAATGCGAGCACAAACAGCTCTAGATGATCTACAAAACCTAGTGCACTTTGATCGAGGACAGTATATACCTTTACTCCTCAGAGACATATCGTGGCAGATTCTGGGGATCTGTCAACAGGTGACAGGGAACCTCCAGGCTGCTCTATACTCATACAGACAATCTCTCAGACAAAAACCATACAACAAAATACAAACAGCTACAGAAATGAGAATACAGAGTTTGCCAATGGATTCCCTTCATTAATTTAATGTCAGATGATATTTATAGGAGTTCACAGATAGAGATTATCATTTACATATCCTCTTCTGATTTCAAATTTTCTTTTCTGTCTGTTTATTACACATGTTACATGTACTATAAAGCTAATAACTAGTCTAAAATAAAATGAAAGAGGCACCATTGCTTATCATAATTACAGTCAAACCTGTATTAAGCTGCAGTGAGTCACCTATGGGATGTATTAAAATGTGACCTTTATAGAGAGCTGACCTTTGAATAGAGTTTCATCTTTTTAAAGGAATTTATTTACAAATATGCCAATTCATTTGTGTTCATATTATCTATTTCACTACAAAATATACAAGAAAGTTCAGTGTTTTTTTTTTTCAGTACTTTGGGACTGGGGGCTGGGGCCCTTAAAATTGGGAATTTCAGCGTCAATTAGACTAAATTGGGAATCTCCAAGAAAAACACAGTCCCAAAAACGCATTGTAATAAAGCTTTGTTTTTGTCTATGTATTACTGTAACAAACAATTGTGAAAACAAATCAAGACTATTCTTGGTATGAAATATCTAACTACGTGCATCCAGAACGATAGTGGTATGATTTATCTAATTATAAAGAAATCAAACATGGCTGAACAACTTATATTTAAACTGCTTGAACTTCACTGAAAAACAAGCAATAAATAAACTGAATTTGATCACACATTTTGTAAGTTTTTCTTTGGGAAAACTTCATACATGCCAACTTTTGAAAATTCCCATAAGGAATTTAGCGCGTGACGACAATTTTCAAAGCTTTAAATTCGGGACATTTTGTCGTGAAATTAAATGATTATGAAATGATTTTTTTTTATTTATAATATTGATATCACTTATCAATAAAACTCAAGGATTAATTTACCACAAAAAATGTTTTTCTTTCCAAAATTGAAATATTTTTGCTAAAATACTGGTGCCTCTCTCACTAAAGAAGGAGTATTTAGTTACATATATAAACAACTTTTTTTCTACCAGGACAGAATTTATAGTGAAAAATTGAAAATTGTACAACTTTAAAATCATTTTTTTCAAAGGGTAAAAATAAATGGGTAGAAATTCTAATAAGATATTAAATTTACAGAAATTTATACCACCTATCCAAAACAGAATTATTTTTTTTTACAGTCATGAAATTTGTCAGGCTTGATGGTGCCATGTGGGTATTTCCTTAAGTCATGCACATAGATCTACCTAACATATTAATTACTTTTGGGAGAAGGGAGGGAAAAGAAATTCTAATTGACATACACTTGATTGTTTCATCTTAATTTTTTAATAATATTTTAACTGGCAAACTTTACAATATTTTTCATTATAGGTAGATAAAATCAGCAGCTATGCTTTATTAGTTTTCTACTTTCGTTTTCAAAAAACGATCTCTTTGGATTCCGTTTTTATTGTTTGATTTGCATTTTATTGTCTTTAATTTATATTTTTAATAAAATGACAAACAACTATATTGTTAATCTATGTGTTTCACCTTGCATACCCTTTAAAACTAACAAGATAATCCCCTAATTGCCCCAAGCTATAAGCTTCTTGCTCCAGTGGACAACTTCGTGCGTTCAAGCGTGAAGTGATTTCCTGTGTCTAGGCCTAATTAACATCTGGTTAAATAAACAATGAAACTTATCTGTGTGCATTGAATAAACACGTCTGACATTGTTATCCCGATTGTCAAAATTCAGCGGTAGGGAATTACTTTTAAAATCGGAAATTTTGGTGATTTTTTTTTCAAATCGGGAAATAAGGGCAATTTTGCTTTCCCGATCGGGAAGGCGGGATGAAAGGGTAAAATCGGGAGGATCCCGCCTAAATCGGGAAAGTTGGCATGTATGAAACTTCCACTACATTTTGGGAAAATAAAGCATATTTTCAATTGGGACTGGGGCCGAAAATCGCCCTAAAAAAATCACTGAAGTTATGTATTGGACAATATAGTGATCTCACTTTTAATTTTTTTTATCATTCCGTATGTCTTTTGTTGATGAATTCAAACTAAATTCAATGAATCCAAGAAAATTTAACAAAATATTTGTATATTGAATCTTAAAAGGTAAATGCATTATCCCCCATCAAAGCAACCATTTTTTTCTTGTGTAAGGAATGAATATCTTATGCAATGAAGAAAATCAATCAAATATTATTTTATCTAAACTTGATTTGTAAAATGAACTTCTGTACATGTATTTTTATGCCCCCGTAAATGAAGTTTCGGGGGTATATAGTTTTTGTCGTGTCTGTCTGTCTGTCTGTCTCTCTGTCTGTCTGTCTGTCTGTCTGTCTCTCTGTTTGTCCGCAAAAACTTTAACCTTGCCCATAACTTTTGATTTAGTGGAGCTATGACTTTCATATTTCATATGTTTATTCTTTGTGACAAGATCTTTCTTCAGGTACCACCAACTTTGACCTTTTGACCTTGACCTTGGAGTTTGGCCCACTTTTACATGAAAATTTCAAAATTTTACTTTGGCCATATCTTTTGAACAGTAGACACCAGGACATTTATACTTTACATATATAATGTTTGTTTAAAGTCCTTTCACTGAATACCAACAACCTTGACCCTTTGACCTTGACCTTGTAGATTTTCGTACTTGTGAGAAAACTTTAACCTTGGCCATAACTTTTGAACGGTAGGAGATAGGGCTTTCATACTTTATATATGAAATCCTTGTTAAAAGACACTTCATTGGATATGAAGATCCTTTACCCTTTGACCTTGACCTTTGAGATTGACCTACTTTAAAAAAGCAAACCTTGACCATTACTTTTAAAGGTTTAGGGCTAGTGCTTTCATACTTTATATATTTGATCCTTATGACAAGACCTTTCATTTGATAATACTAACTTTGACCCTTTGGCCTTGACCTTGGAGTTTGACTTACTTTTTACAAACATTAACCTTGACCATAACTTTTGAACAGTAGGGGCTAGAGCTTTCATATTTCACATGTGTAATCCTTGTGACAAGATCTTTCATTGGATATCAAGAAGCTTGACCCTTTGACCTTGACCTTGAAGTTTGACTTACTTTTTACAAACTTTAACTTTGACCATAACTTTTGAACAGTAGGGACTAGAGCTTTCATATTTCACATGTGTAATCCTTGTGACAAGACCTTTCATTGGATATCAAGAATCTTGACCCTTTGATCTTGACCTTAGAGATTGACCTATATTTTTACAAACTTTAACTTGGTCATTACTTTTGAACGGTAAGGGCCAGCGCTTTCATATTTCCTATACGTAATCTTTGAGACAAAGCCTTTCTTTAGAACCCAATACCCTTGACCCTTTGACCTTGAAACGGAGTTTGTCCTATATTATAAAATGTTAACCTTGGTCATAACCCTTGAACAGGTGTAGCTAGCATTTTATATTTCACATTTCTTGTGAAAAGGCCTTACTTTGGTACCAACGTATTTGATCTGCATTTGAGAAAGCATAACCTTCGCTATGTTGCCATACGGGGGCATCAGTGTTTCACAAACACATCTTGTTTAACTCAGAAATTACTTGTTGCTAAAAATTGTATTTACTCAAATATTTAATGAGAAAATTTTCAAAGAAATTGATCAAGACCTGCGTCTCTGACAATAATTTAAAATGGTATCATATATTATGGGACACCCTGTATCTTGGATATGATAGCCGTATTTACAGCATATTTTATAACAAATTTATGCTGGAAGTTTGCTCATCTTTATACATGTAACATATTTGGATATGATAATGGTGGTATTAACATCATATATTTATGACAGATTTTTACTGGACCTTTACTTATCTTACCGTCTTCTGGCAGCTCTGGTAAGTCTTCATCCAACAAGTCCTACAAACATGTAAACATCATAAATAACAAAGGATGAACAAAAAGGACTCCCCAAACAAAGATACAGAACATGTACATAACTTTTTAATCAGTTTTTGGACTTTTTAAGCACAGATGCATCTTATATCAGATTAATGCCAAAACAAAATTATTGCTTGTTTCAAATTGCTCCTTATCCCAGTGATTTAACCCCTGCTGAAAATATTTTATTGATAAAATAAAAAGGCATTTTTTTATGAAGTAAAAGCTTGTGATATGCACTATTATTTCTATTAACTTATCAATGAATATTTGTTTATCTTCCTTTTCATGGTTCATAACCCCAACAGCATCCACTTTTATAAGTCAGAATGACCTTTTTTTGACCTTGGTAATATAGTTAAATGTGCCGTGTCATGTACAGGGTAAACTTACAGCAAACACTGCTGTATTGGTCAGTAGTTTCTTAAGCCTCTCAGCTCATAAGTATTTTATACCATGGTTATCAAATGACATACATGTTAACCTATTGTGATGAAAAATAGGGAGATTCAGACCTCAAAAGCGGTAGCAGTGCGCGCGTGTTGTTAACGCTTGGATTATCGATATCTTTCATGTAATATACATGTATATTATAAGCCTTAAATGAAATCAGGTACCTACACTAATTAATCTTAAATATCAACAGCAAAGAAGAAGATAGAAACACCTTAAGTTTGACATAAATTGTACAAATTCAAATATTTTTCATCCTCATCATTTTGCTTGGATTGGCTGCTTTACTTAGCCTTTTGAAGAGTGATCATTGCTGATATAGCCTAGAAGCAATAATTCTGAATGTTCATTCAGTTTTTAAACAAAACAAATGATGACATGGTTTAATCTAGCTCACCTTTTGTCTACAAAACAATAAAATAAATGTTAATGTCAAATGTTCTGTATCTAAATGATTTCATAAATCTGATGTACAAAAAAAGCGTTTGTATGATTCCGAGTCAAATCACGCGATATCTAGCGAGATTTTATGAGAGTGGCTTCAAAAATGGATAAATTCACAGTCATTAGGCGGGAGATGGAAGGACCCATATACAAAATGTGTAGATAAATTCAATTATAGAATAATTCAAAAAGACAATCATAGAATAATTTAAGATAATTTAATTTACATACAGGAAAATTTTTGCCCATTTTATTTTTCACTCTTTTTTCCTTGCCGCAATTAAGCGAATTTAAAACAACAAATCAAAGTCAATAGCATTATAACAGAAGGCTGTCTGAGCAAATTCAAAAGAGAGCAAAATTGTTTGGTGTGAAAAATGGTGAAAATAACCCTGTATACATTAATATAAAATATTTTGTCAACATTTATTCATACAATTGTAGGGGCTGTTTAGTAACTTTCAAAGAAGATACAGCTTTTTCTTGTCTTATCCTTCATCTGTAAATAACTCTCCAGGGTTACAACACTTTGACTCCTGGCCTGGGGGCCATAAAACTTAGACGAGCTCACTTTTGATCTCAGTCTCACTTTTACCAAAGAAATATATAGTGGAAAAGTGAGACTGAGATCAAAAGTGAGCTCGTCCAAGTTTTATGGCCCTCAGGCTTGACCTGTAGAATGCGGCGGTTCTGTCTCTCTATGTTCTTTAGTTCCTTGTGATCAGTCAGTAGGTGTTTACACAGAGACTGGTAGTACTCCCCCAACAAATTACGACAGCCCTTCTGTCTCTCTGGTGGCAGCAACTACAAATAGAGTCATCTTATTGTTTAGTCATCAAGATTGTATAAAATTAACATAAACCTTGCTCAAGAATGTTAGTATACTGTAAATTCTATACAGTAAAATCTCTAATTTTTTAGGTGTCAGACTTTCCTATTCTGGGAAAAAATAATGATCGAATTGTATAATCATTAAATCTTGCATTTGGCCAGACAAATATTCACCATACTGTATGTACTTCATAATTTAAACATTTCATGGAGGACATGAATTTGATTTATGATCTAACAGTATTATCATCAAAAGCTCCCTAGACGCTCATAAGTAAGGACAGGAAATGATGTGATTTCCTCTTTGTTGAATTAAACAGAACATATACTTAACCTTTAATTCTGTAACAGTAACTTACTGTACTGCGAGGAATTTCCACCTCATGCTTCTCTGCTAGCAATCTACAACATATCAAGATTGTACACATAAATACCTGATAAAACCATACCATACCACTACCATAATAAATGTAAAATGATCGCTTCAAATATCATCAGAAACACATTCAAATAAACAAGTCATTGACATAATAAACAGTCATATACATTAGAAGTGTTATAATGATATTTAGAAGTATTCTTTTTAAACTTATTTTGGACCATCAATACAGAACTTATCTTTGATTTAAAAAAGTGTAAAATGCCAAAAAATTCAGGCAGTGACCAAACTTGTATTGCTTCTTCAGGTCTAAGGCAGGTTAGTGAATATGTCCCAAGTTGGACTGCGTTTAAACTTGATCTTATGAGAGAGGACACCAGCCAATTGAATTATACAAGGCTGCTGATTTTACAGGACAAAAGTCTGGCGTTATCTTCCCCGCACTGCTTACCTGATTTTACAGGGCAATAGTTCGGAGTAGTCATCGCTGCAGTGTTTACCTGATTTTATGGGGCAGGAGTCCGGAGTAGTCGTTGCTGCAGCACTTACCTGATTTTACGCGGCAGAAGTCCAGTGTAACCTTCCCTGCAGTGCTTAACTGATTTTATGGGGCAATAGTCCCATGTTATTATCACCCTGGCAGTACTTACCTGATTTTACGGGGCAGTAGCCCGGCGTAGTCGTCCCCGCAGTGCTTACAGAAGCTGGTTAGTATGGTGAGGTTGTTGTGCTCCTCCTTGTCACTGACGGTCAGTAGACTCAGCTGACCGGCCAGCACATTCAGCCCCTCCCTCAGGCTAAACAGCCCCACCGACAACAGCTCAGCAAAGAAACGCAGGTCCACCCGGTACTTACTGGGGTTACTTATCTGAAAATCAACACTATAGGTTTAAGTCGACATAAATTGGTTGTACATTTGAACGGCTAGTACTTTATAATTGTACACATAAATGAATCTGCAACCTTAACAAGAGGGAACCTGCCTTTTTAAGGAAATTTTAAATAATCATACATTTCTTTGAAAAAAAAAATATTTGAACAATTACACAAAAAGACTTAAAAGTGCTAAAAAAGGTATAAAAAATATTCTGCTGAATTTTCCAAAAAGCCTATCTTAAACCCATCCCGTCTTCCTTTACCTTTTCATCTTTCTTGCTGAGGAGGTATTTCTGCCAGTTGTCCATCAGATAGTTGGAGAACTCGGCGTACCTCTGATAGAACAGACAGCAGATGTGAACCCCGCAGGCAATGTCAGACATCTTTAACTTGGCCTCAGTGATGGCCGCAGCCTACAACATAGAATGTCAATGTCAGACATCTTTAACTTGGCCTCAGTGATGGCCGCAACCTACAACATAGAATGTCAATGTCAGACATCTTTATTTTGGCCTCAGTGATGGCCGCAGCCTACAACATAGAATGTCAATGTCAGACATCTTTAACTTGGCCTCAGTGATGGCCGCAGCCTACAACATAGAATGTCAATGTCAGACATCTTTAACTTGGCCTCAGTGATGGCCGCAGCCTACAACATCAATCTCATTGTCAGACATCTTTAACTTGGCCTCAGTGATGGCCGCAGCCTACAACATAGAATGTCAATGTCAGACATCTTTAACTTGGCCTCAGTGATGGCTGCAGCCTACAACATAGAATGTCAATGTCAGACTTCTTTAAATTGGCCTCAGTGATGGCCACAGCCTACAACATAGAATGTCAATGTCAGACATCTTTAACTTGGCCTCAGTGATGGCCGCAACCTACAACATAGAATGTCAATGTCAGACTTCTTTAAATTGGCCTCAGTGATGGCTGCAGCCTACAACACAGAATCTTAATGTCAAGAAAAATTCCAATTCCATCGCTTTCTTTTCAAACACAGTAAATTCATCATTTAAATAAAAAATTTGGTAATTCACAGTAGAACCAAAAGTCTCTGTCGAGACTGAAGCTCTACTGGTTTGTACTTATAGCAAAGGAAGAGAAAATACTTTAATAAACAGTTGGGAATTGAAACTTTATTATAGTAATAAATAGAATAATGATCCTTGATTGAGCCTCTTTATGTTCAAGTTATATTGAAATCAGACCAAAACTGTAGGAGGAGTAGCATTTTGAAAGAGAATTTCACAGAAATTTCTATTTTTAGTAACCACGGCAACAACATCGAAATCCAAAACCGATATAAAGAATTATGTATCTTAGTGTAGTCTACTTGTGTGCCAAGTTACATTGAAATCAAATCAAAACTGTAGGAGGAGTAGCATTTTGAAAAATTGTTTACAAACAGACAGACGGACGGACGCCGGACACATTACTATCGCATAAGCTCTTCTGGTCTCTGACCAGTAGAGCTGATAATACACATGTACTTTTATAAAAAATAATATACTTGACTGTATATTAAAACTGTATATCTTTTAGCATTAATGATACTGGAATCATCGAAATAACCACCACCTAAATTGTTTGTGTTACTGATTGAATTTCTTAGCATTAACAAAAAGCACTGATATTGATATTAATTACACTACTGTAAATGTATATTATTCCTGATACTTTATATGAACAAAACTCACTGCTTCTCCTATGTACTTGTTCAGATTCAGGCCTTTAAAATCTTTGGTCAAACTGTCTTTTTGTGACTCTGTTAAGTTTTTCTGAAAGAAAGAATGCTAAATAATGTTCAACAAGTTCTTTTCTCAGGCCTAAAATAAAATAAATTTGTTTGCAGTTGCCTACCTACCCACTGAAAATGCTCCCGACCCAAACTTTTTTAGCCATTTGGTAATTTGATTTTTTTTTTTCAATTTTTCAGAATATTGAAACAGTTTCGTTAAATTTTGACACGTTTTTTATCATTCAGTAGTTTATAACAAGTGGTGAGCTTATTCATGTCTAGTAGGTGTATGAAAACCTCTTTTAATTGTTTTCTAACAAAAATCTGATTTTTTTCATAAAAAAAAAAAAAAAAAAAAAAGAGAATGCCTACCAACCGACCCAGTCTAAAAATTATAGGTCAGCAACTGCAAACAAAAAATTTTTTAAGCTTGGCCTCATCTGAACTATAACGCATCTTGCATATTTTCATTGAGGTCATCAGCATTTAAAATTAATATACAAATTTTTAAAATGAGTAATTTGATAATATTAATTTAAAAGCAATTCACTTCACTATCCTTGATAATTTTTCAGATTTATAAGATATAAATTGCACAACATATAAAAAACAATCCCACCTGTGAGATTTTTGTGATAGTTCATACTGTTGCTGTTCTTAATTTATTTATATTTCTAGGTTCTACACTTACAAGTTTCTTGACAAATGCGGTGTTCTTCTTGAGACTGGAGTCTAACCTGCTGAAGAAAGACTGTCATTATATAACCCTATAGATCTCTATAACAGTCAAGATTTAGACAGGCAGTGTCATTATATAACCCTATAGATCTCTATAATAGTCAAGATTTAGACAGGCAGTGTCATTATATAACCCAACAGATTTAATTAAATGATAAATTTGAAACTGAAATACCTGGAATGGCTGTATGTATCAATTTCCAATATATCCATTATCTTGTTAAGGCATATTGAATAGATGTAAATTGATACTGAATTTATCATAAATAACCACAATATAAAAACTGAGATACCTTTCTATAACAATTCATCAAAGCTTACTCTACTGATATGTATAACTACTATGTATTACAAATCTCAGTCTGACCTGCGGCCTCCTGGTTCTGCTCTCGTAACTTCCTCTTTGTCTCGTATTTCTCCAGACACTCCTGTTGGTAGTCTTGGACTGTTTTCTGTATAAAACATTCATACCTCAATTTAATTTCCTCTTGTAAGATTTCTCATAGTTACTGATGTACTTTTATGTTTATACACAACTTAAAAGACTTAAAATACTTCTAACTTCAAAGCTTTTCTTTCTCAATTCCAGCCCTACCCCCTTCCTGGAAGGTCAAATAACACTTCCTGATTTAAGCAACAGCCTCCATTATTTTTCTAAATTAACAACAAAGTTCAATCTGTCTGTACTTATTGATTTAAACATCATTTTTCCACTTACAATTTCCTCTTCTAGGAGTCTCTGTTTTTCTTCTTCTTCTTTCCTCTGTCCGAAAAGAATACAAATACAGCTCAATATTAAATGCCATCAAATTACAAGACATTTCAGTCCTCGGAATACATTAATTTCCACCTCAAATAAGACATAAGGTTTTCTCTCAAAGGATCCTATCATTACCATTTACTACCATTAGTTAAGTCCTACCTTTTCCTCCTCCTCCCTCCTGATCCTGTCTTCCTCCCTCCTCCTGGCCTCCTCCTCAGCTTTCCTCTTCTTCTCGTCCTCGTTCTGCCACTGCTCCTCTAACTCGGCTGCTGACTTCACCTCCTTACTGCTGCCAGTCTTCTTATCTTCTCGCTTATCTCCCCTCTCCTCTGAAGATCTGTTTTCTCTAGCACTGTGTAATTCCAATCCAAAATCTTTATCATATACTATTGTTTATATTATAAAACAGATTTTTTTTTAAATCAAAATTTATGTCAAATTAAAATGTAGCTGAAGTAAAAGTGGGTTTAATCTCATCATGTAGCTTTTTTATGGATCAAGTTATTAATAACTAAGTATTGTTGTGTTCCAACTTTATCATATTTATCTGGTATAAAATAGTAAATAATGACTTGGTTGATAAATTTGAACAGATTTAGTTTGTAGCTATACTTACCCCTGCTTACTACCCCTGTCCCCTGCCGGGCCTTTATTTACAGACTTAGTTTGTAGCTATACTTACCCCTGTTTACTACCCCTGACCCTGCCGGGCCTTCTTACCCCTGTTGACTTACCCCTGTTTACTACTCCTGTCAGGCCTTTGTTTACAGATTTAGTTTGTAGCTATACTTACCCCTGTTTACTACTCCTGTCGGGCCTTTGTTTACAGACTTAGTTTGTAGCTATACTTACCCCTGTTTACTACTCCTGTCCCCTGCCGGGCCTTTGTTTACAGATTTAGGTCCCTTTTCTCCTCGTTGTGACCACTTATCTCCCCTGGCTCCAGGTCCTGACCTTGGGTCGCCTCCCCTTTTAGAGTTCCCTCCCCTGTCAGCATATCCTGAATCAGTCTGGTTCTTAGCTCCTTAAAGTACAGGATAACAAAAGTATTATTTTACTTGACTAATATATTGAAGGTAAAGAGCACCATATGTCAAAATTCTAATGGTAACAAAGAGATCTACTGATTCCTGTGTGAGGGAGATACCTCTTTTGGAGTCGAACCCTGAGGTTCCCCCTTTAGGAGGTGACGAGGCTTTGTATGAGGACCTCTGAGGTCTGTCGTCATAACGTCTAGATGTATCCGACCGCGGTTTTCCTGCAATTTATAAAATTAAGATATCATGCTGTTTGAGTTCATTTTTAAAACCATATTTAAAGCATTTCTATGTGTAATCATGGTAATTAGTGATATTTTTATCACTTATCATTTACATCATTATGAAAATAAACAAAAACAAATCGTCAGAAATTCCATATTCATACCACATTTGGCAACATCGAGTAAAATTTTAAGAATATAGAATAGATGAACATTGGAAGTATCTATCAATTTTCCATGGTGTGAAAAGACAAGGTGTCCCATTAAAGGTACTTGGACACAGATTTGAAGTTAATATTTTCTCATTTTTTGTGTATAGTATCACGAATTATATATTTTAATAGCATTTCACACAAAAATTGATTAAAAATCTTATTTCATTTAAAAGTTATTAAAACTTTAAATTTTTTGGCGGGTTTGATTGACACATCCTTGCACTTTCACAAATTTTAACTTTATTTTATCCTTAGGAAAAGTAATATATTGATGTGTTTTAATGAGAAATATATATATCAAGAAAAATAATTTTAACAAAGAGAACTGATACTGGGAAAGCAAAACACCTTCACAAGTATCGTCATTCCGAGGTTCCCCCTAAGAGAGGTACAGAGATTAGCAAATCGAGCACACTCGTGTTATGTCAGTTTTTGTCATAACCTCTAGATTGTTTATATTTATTCACCGGGTGCGTTCAATAGTCCTGCAATTAACAAAATGCAAGATATCAATATATTGTGTGTTTGTTTTCATTTTTAAAACCATGTTTAAAGCATTTCTATGTGTAATCATGGTAATTAATATATTTTTATACAAATCATTTACATTTTTAGGAAAGTAAAACAATTGTAGACAAATTGTCATCAAACCCGCCGAAAAATTTGAAATTTCAATATCTTTCAAACGAAATAAAATTTTTAATTAGTTTTTGTGTGAAATGCTATAAAATATCTATCAATTTTCCATGGTGTGAAAAGACAAGGTGTCACATTAATAATAATAATATGTGAGGTCAAATTGAAAAAGATTTTATCAAAATTTGAACCAGAATGAGATATTGCTGTAAGTATAAATTGTTTTTTTTTCCCTTTGACATGAGGAGGGTCTGTCTGACTATCTGTATGATCCCCCCTCCCCCTGACCCTTACTGACCTGAGGAGGGTCGGTCTGATGACCGGTATGAGCCACCCCCTGACGTGGATTTCTCTGAGTTTCTCATCTTACTGGGGAAGCCTTTGTCAGCTGATTCCTGGGAATCACTCATGTTAGTATGGTCAATCTCCTACAACAAATCCAAATTATAAAGCCTGTATTTCTGAATACTGACTGAGTCTGTAATTGATTTTGAACAGCTGTTGAAGGCTGATGCTAAAATATTATTTGTTCGCTGTAAAATTAACTTGATATTCCTTTTCAAATGCAAGTTCCATTCGTATTTAACTTGCTACACATAAACTTCATTCTTAGGCTCTGTAATTAAGAGGTAGGGCCTATAGCTCTATGTGTTGAGTACCAGTATATTTGGTAAACATGGTAAAAACACTAAAACGGACTGATAAAGTTCAACTAATCTCCGTGACATAAATTTTCCTGTTGGGCATTATTAACGTGATTACTACTGCTTTAACTCAATTGTAGATAAAATACAGTCTTTAATATAAATACCTAATGATATGATAATAAGTCTTTTCTAGATTATACACTAATGCCATTAACATGATCCCAAATTAATACATTTTTGTAAATAACAGAGTAAGAAAATTCGGTCCTAACAACGTTTCCTGAATACACTTATTCTACCTTTTCAGCTTTAAAATATCACATCATTAAATAGTACTACTTCATATAAATGACATCATCAGTTTTCATCGATGAATTATTGCTGTGAAACGCTTGTTTGTAAATTTTAACTACTCCAACTTTCCGTTTCTTTCAAAACATGGCGTCTGCTACTTGAGTTATCTACCTTTTCCGCTAGGGGTAAATAAGCGGAATCCGGGATGTTTCGCACCGGTTCTGTTTCGCACTGAGGTGATTCGCGCCCATTTCGGTGCGAAACATCTTCCCTCTTTTTTTTGTGTAATATTTCATTTATTTTGTAATAATCATGATAATTTAAGATCATCTGCAATAATTTAAGATCATTTATTAAATCTTAAATATAAATATTGTTGTAGACTCAAAATAATGACTTTATAATATGCGGTGCCACAGGTAACGGATCGTAAATGTTAATTTAAACAATAAAATGCTTTCTTTGTTTGTTATTACTGGAATTAACGGAAGCAGCTGTTGCAGAAAAAATACATAACCCGCGTAAGCGGGTTATGTAAATTTTTTCTGCAATAGCTGCGACCGTTAATATTCCAGTAATAACAAACATAGAAAGACATTTTATTGTTTATATTTATATCTGTTTTAATAATCATTTAAAGCAGGATTAAAAGATTAATTAATGATGCGAACGTCCTTATACGTTTCATTGATGGAGCAGCCACTGTAGTTCATGCAGTGATTAAAGCAATGGGTTTTCTTAAGAAATAAAGGAGAAAATATTCAGTGGATGTAAATATATCAATATGCCCGTTTGCTCAGTGTATGTGTTCAACAATTTTTAAAATTCTAATTAGTTGGAGATCAAAAGGTGAGAATTATTTCATTACAGCAATTATCTGCGTTAAACTCGAGAACATATAATATGTGTTACTGAGAACATGCGATAGACGAATAATCCACCAGGAAGTTTCAAAGTCAAATTTAATGAGCTAAACATATTTTCTTAGTCGATAAACTAGGCTTTATACATGGCCAATTGTTTTTTCTTTCATCTGTATATTTCTCTTCATCAGTATTATATTACATTAAGTGAACCATCTTTTTTAAGTCATTAAATTATAGTTAAAACAATTAAGGGCGTAGCCATGAGACAACTGAAGTTCTGCCTCATAGATTTTCAGTACTATCCCCTTCCTATATTAATTTAATACATCACAGGAGTCAGAAAACAATTCATTTCATTGAAAAACCTAATTGTTTTCATTTAAACAAATTAATAAAATATTAAACATTTATTGACAGAGTTCGAGGACAACTTGCGTTTTGTCGGACCCGAGAACCAAACTGCATGTCGACAAATCGCATTTTGCCCGAGAACTCTGTCAATAAAGGTTTTGTTATACCTTTCATTTTAATTTTTTTTTGACATACATGAATTTTTGTTCTGTCTTACGTGATGTAACGACAGGTCCGTCACTGTTGAACACCAAAGAATGAAAATGAGATTAAATTCCGCCCATTCTGTGACGTAAGCGGTCCAACATCTCATTGACCGGTCCAACATCTCCCTCAACGGTCCAACATCGATTTTTTTATGCCCGCTCAGCAAAACATCAGATATGTTGGACTTTTTTTTCGTGTAGATTTGTATAGGAACAATTTTTAAAGGTATAACAATGTACTTTCATGTCAATATGTTTCAAAATTCATGAGATTAGGCTCTGTAGTTTAAAATCCGAAAAGTATTTTTGTGGGAAAAATATTAAAATATACATGAACAAAAAAGGGGGCAGACAAACTTTACATACTCTTCTAATTATCACTCGTCTCATCATTATGTACTCCAGTCTCCAAATTTAATCTCCACGCATTGAAGTGACGGGCTCGCTCGACCAGGCAACTGGAGGGCATTCGGCCAACCCCGAACACACACCATGGACTCATCGCGGAACCCCCACAGGTACTAACCGTGCAAACAGTGACAGTGATGCAGACACCGGGTCATCCGTACACAAAAAATTCCGTTATGATATGGTCAAGTTTCTTCCACATACTAGGGCAACGCTGGAGGCCGGACAGAAAATAATGAAATGAAGTTTTTATCATTAAATGTTTGTGGTAAATAGAAGACTTCAGTATACGGAATTTAATGATCTTATTTCTTCAAATGATATAATTGGTTTGACTGAAACTAAAACAGACGACACTGATAATTTGCAAATACCTGGATAATTTTCTACTTTAAAAAAAAAACATGTAAATTATCTAGAGTAAAATCAGGTGGCATTGCTTTATTAATTAGAGACTCCATTGTCAAATATATCAAAATAATCAATACATATTGTAAATAACATTTATTATGGTTCAAATGTAATAGATCACTATTTCATCTCGAGGATGACATTTATTTTGGTATTGTATATATCCCTCCAGAAAATAGCAAGTATTCATCCCCCGATTGTTTTACTGAAATAGAACAAGAGCTCATGTCAATATCCAAAGATTGTAAATATGTTTGTTTGCTGGAGGATTTTAATTCCAGAGTGGGCAAATTGAATTATATAAATATGACTTTATTATAACAGATGGACTTTTTATAACAAATGTTAAACAATGTAATTCTGGTGTTGAAAATAACGATATTGAAACGTTTTTTGAGAATGTAAACATTCCTATTGACAAGGCTGTTCAAGATTTTTCAA